GGTGATAAAGCATCTCCTTGTTTTAGACCATTCTGGATAGGAAATTTATCAGACAAATGTTTACCTACATGGACTTTACTATATGTTTCGTTTAAACACATTTTAATCAACCTAACTAGTTTCATGGGTATCCCATACTCTATTAGAATACTGTACAATACTTCCCTCCTAACTGAATCATAGGCTTTCTTGAAGTCTAGGAATAGCTGATGTACTGTCTCATCGTACTCCCATTTTTTTCTCCAATATCTGACAAATGCAAAAGATCCGACTTGTAGTTGAACTGTTACATCAAAACCCACACTGATGATCCCCAGTAATTTCATCTATATATGGACTTAACCTTGAAAGAAGAATATTGGACAAAATTTTATATGAAGTTGATAGCAGTGATATCCCCTGATAATTACTATAGTCAGTTTTATCACCCTTCTTGTGAACTGGTACAATAATAGACTCCTTCCACTGATCAGGCAATTTTTCCTTATGCCAAATAGAAGTAATCAGATTGTGGATCTTAGAATGTAATATTTCGCCTCCTGCTTGAATAAGTTCTGCTGGAATTTGATCCCTACCTGGCGATTTATACCATTTCAATTTTGCAATAGCACTTTTAACCTCAAAAGGGCCAGGATTAGGTATTAACGGCTCAGCTGTATGGATTTCTGTCTGCCTAACAGCACTGACCCTATGTACATTCAATAACTGAGAGAAGTAGTTCCTCCACCTATTCAAAATGTTGTGGGAATCTGCAAGCAGATCACCATTCTCATCCTTCACTAAGTTACAGCTAGGCTGGTAACCCCTCTTAAAGTCATTTATTCCTCTATACAGATCTCTAATGTTCTTGTTCTTACTGTTCATTGCAAGCTCATCAATTTTGTCTTTCAGATATTCCCTCTTTTTTGTTCCTGAAATGCCTGCTGGTTTCACATCTTGTATTGTTCAGATTATCCCCATTTAACTCACTTGGATCCTGTAACCATTGCAATTTGGCCTGCTTGCTTTGATCTAATCATTTTGAGCATCCTTCATCGAACCAGGGCTTATGCTTCTTAGGTTCATAATAACATAGACTCTCTTTGGCAGACATTTTTATATTCTCTCTAATAGTTTCCCAAGCTTTATTAACATCCACCTCAATTTCCAAGTTTTCCAAAGCCGCAAACCTATTTGAGATTTCAACACAATACTGCTCTTTACCCTCTAACTCATTTAATTTCTTGAGACTGAACCTCTTCATATGAAACCTGTGTGTTGTTTATTTGCTCACTGCGAGTCTTTCCCTAACCTTTGCCACCACCAGATATTGGTCAGTATCACAGTATGCTGCCCTGAATGATCGGACATCAAGTATACTTGAGTGCCATCTCCTATCTATCAAAATATGGTCTATTTGATTGTATATCTTCCCGTCAGGAGGTGTCCAAGTAACTTTATGGATGTTAGGATGTGGGAACATTGTACTTTTGACAGTAAGATTTTTTGATATGGAAAAGTTTACAACTCTGACTCCATTATCATTACTAATTTTGTGCAAACTCTCCCTACTTTGGCATTGAAATCTCTTAAAAAATTTTCATAGGGTACTTCGGGAATTTATCAAATACATGTTCTAGTTCTTCATAGATTCTATCCTTTATGTCATCAATTTTAACTTCTGTTGGGGCACGAACATTCATAACAATGATATCACACCAGCAACCTTTTAGTATTATATATGATACCCTATCACTAACGAATTCTACCCTCTTAACTGCTGATACGATTCTCTTATGTACAAAAAACCTGTACCTAATTCATGATTTTCATTCCCATTTACATAGAAAAACATATAGTCTCCTGCTGGTGCAATGCCACCTCCATCTCATCTGACCTCCTGTACTCCTGCGAAATCTATCTTATATTTTAAGATTTCTTCTGCCACTACCCTGAGCAAACCTGCCCTGTGCAAACTTCACACATTCCAAGTGCCAAATCTCATATCCATTTTCATTAGCTTAGGTCATTTATCCAAGAAATCCGTATGAGCCACAAAGTCAAAAATTCTTTCCTTTGATATGTGAAAATCCGGACCTGCCATTAATGTTTATTATTATTGTATATTATTTTCCATCATGAAACCAATATTCATTATTGCAATTCCTATTACTACATAACAGAGGTATGGTATAAAATCAGTCTTGTCATAACTATGCAGATGATCATGCAGTTTCTTATATTTTACTTCTAAACAGATCTTCCGCACATTTATGGTGGATCAAACATATAGCTGGGTGTGGGAAAACAATAAATGCTAAAAGAATGTTTGTGGGAAACCTCTTGGTAGGGGCTCAGAAACAAAGAGAATAACATCAACCACAATATTATGGAGTTGTGAAGATGACATGTGAATGTGTTTGGCTAAGGGCTGTATCCAATGGTCTTTAGCAGTAAATGATTGGAGACTCTGTCATTACTATGTAGTAGATCTGCAGTAATTATTACTATGATTAACTGACAACATTGTCCACCAGTGAGAAAATGTACTCGTAAGACCTAAGCATTTCTTCACATTTTATCGAGAAGTTATTGTACTTTGTAGTTAATGAGAAGCCTTACTAATTCCTCCAGTTATCCAGAGACTAACAAAATCATACCCCAATTTGATGCAATAATACTGATGTGCCAATCAAATTCCCCCCACCTCCATTTGATAGAGTATAATTTTTTTTTCGATTGTTCAATTTATGGATACTGCGACAAAAACTTGGGACTCACCAATAATCTTCATTTTATACTGAGATTTGTAATACGTGGAACATTACTATCACGACCTCCATACACATCTTACTAACATGAGAACACGTACGTCCCATACTTCCCATGTGCCTTCCCTGCAGTTATACGTACCTGGCTGTGTTGTACAGTTATTGCGTACACAAATCTAGTATTATAGCATTAATACCCCTACAGCCATAAAAAAAACCGTCGTAACATAAAATAGTGTAACATCAGACAAGGAAAATGGAGTAGGTAGGGATAGACAAAACCACACATAATGTTCACACTTATTTAAAATTAGTATTATACAGGAAATTGTTGCACTACGTTAACTACTATCTGTACGATTATGATTATTTTATGAAAGTCTGCAAAATGAGATTGAACGGCAAGACAGCGATCCAAACTAACTCGCCGTGGCAAGTGAGAACCAAGAAATTGGGCATTAAATTAAGACATCAATATTTTTATAATATATGTTTCTTGTAATTTATGGAAAGGTTGTAATGATATAATTGTAGTTAATTTTTAAAATCTTGCGTGCAAATATAAGGACCTATTAACAGGAAAATATTTTCAAAACTTTACGTTTAGCTTCCTCACTTTTCACTCTGTGCCATATGTAATCTGTATCATATGTATTTTGCGTAATATCTGTGGCCGCAGTTTGGAAGATGGCTGAAGGCAATTGGTAAATTTGTTGCTTATTATGACAATCCTGATCGCGTTATGGCGGATGAAGACGAGGTAGATGTTTTGGGGGATTTTAATTTTGATAATCTGTTTTCAAAGGATGACGGACGATTGTAAGTGTCATTTATTGTGTTTCCTACATTTAGCATGTATGCAAAAAAATGTCTTGAAGTGTAAGTGCGTAATTTAGACGTGCAGTAAGTTTGGCACTTGCTTTCTTACTAGTCCGCTTATTTAGACACATTTTAGTTGGTATATTGAATGTTTACAGAGCATCTTGCTATGATGGAAGTGTTCTTGGTTCCCAAGGGGCGGAGCTGCTGCATTGTGATTATGGCATAACTCAGCAGTGGTTGCTTGAGGCTGCAACACAACCGTGTTGGGATTCAGGATCAGATGATACAAAAGCTCCACACACAGACGATCGACAACAGTATGGGTTTTCAACTCCATTATCAACGACCGATCCGTCATCAGCTTCACCAAATTGGATTGATAATGACAGTTGGAGTGACAAGGAAAAAGGATTATTGGAAAAAGGCTTGGTAAAGATGTATACTTGATATGACTCGTTATGTCCTTATACTTTTAAGTTTATGCAGATGACAGTAAATACGGGAACAGTTTTGAGTTGTGTCAGTGTCTCAGAAGGTAGAATTATTTATAGCCATTGCTTTTAGATCCTCAAATCCAATGTTTGCAGTCGAAGATCTTCCCTTAGGCTGAAAGACAAAATTCTTGTGTTCTGCTCTGTATTATGAGTACTGTATACATATGGTTTAGCTTACAACTATTTATGCAAATATGAGCACATTCCAATCAATTATACTACCAGTACCCAGGCAGACTGAAATGAAGGGAAGTACTTTCTACTTTGTTGTCTGTTTGTATACAGTGTGATGTCTCGCGTGTGATATATGATTTGCATAGATATTCATTAGATTTGTACTTGTATGCAAAGCAGCACTCTTTTTAGACATAGTGAGATTGGTAGGGGAATATCATAATCTTATTAATGTCACTATTAACCCCTGAACAGCATTTGAAACATGATTTATTTAATTTGTTGTATACTTATCACTGGAATTCTGAACAGTTCCTTTTATTGATACACAGGATTTATTTGGACACAGCTGGGGTCGCCTGTCACAGTTTATTGGCACTAAGTCATCACATCAGGTGAAAACTTATGTACGTTCTCATCTTCACCATTTTGGTCCAGCAGATGAAAATGGTGCTCAGGCATCATTTTCAAGTGGGTCAGGCTGTTGCAGTGCTGGTGCAGTAGGCTTCACTGAGTTGATTGACGATATGCAAATACCAGCATCTATGGAGGAGGTTTGTGTATGCTTGTACTCATACTATGCTACACAATGCCAAGCATTACCAGGAGAAAGAATGTGTCATGTGAATATTCAAGGAAACGCTAGAATTTTTAGTCTCCAATATGCATTTCATCCTACAGTTGTAATAGTTCTTAATATTTGTATTTCAGAATTTTATGAGAGGTGAACATATTTTAAATTCATATAACCTCACTTCCCTGTTGCGTAATCGTCATGTTTACCGATGGCCTAGCAATAGTCGTTGCACGGACTTGCCTGTTGCGTGACGTCACAGCCTAGCGGGGAGGCGTATTTACCGAACATTGCGTAATGAAGGAAGGAATGAGGGTACGTGACATCACTCATGGAAACGCAGAGTTCACGTGACCCCTACTTTCTGTTGTGCCATCCATGTTACAGTATTTTATGTGCTGGAATTTTTTATTCCTTATAGTACTTTGCTTGAGTGTTTTTTTTATTGCTAATGGGGTGGGACTAAGTCCCTTGCACTGCGGCCACTTCTGGCCTATTGTACCAGCCCCAGATGATAGGTGAGGGTGATTGTGGAGCAATTGGTGGAATGAAGATTGGCAGGGGAAACCAAAGTACTCGGAGAAAACCCACCTCAGCGCCACATTGTGCATCACAGATCCCACTTGACCAGACCCGGGATTGAACCCGGGCCTCCGCGGTGGGAAGCCAGCGATTAACCGCTTGAGCTATGGCGCGGCCTGATTGCTTGAGTGTTACTAGATTCTATATATAACTGTTTTGTAATATGATTAGAAGTGTCTTTGTCATTTTTTACGTGGACTGTTTTTCCGTTACCTGTTCCAACCTCCCGTAAAGGTCATCATTGGGTAGCTCAACAGTGTGTTTTACAGTGTATTATCAGTATACATGCATTGATACCTTCACTGTTCAAGAAGGATTTACAGTTAGTGAATAAATTTGACCACTTAATGACCCTTTGCAGTGGGTTGAAACATTTAAGGGGCTAGAATTCACAACGAAATGGATGAAAACTTGTATTGATGGTTTTATGAAGCAAATATTTATATAGTGTAACATGCAGCAGATGCCTCAGTTAAAGAAAGAACCTCTGTGTTTCATTCTTAAGTTTAGCTTAGAAGTACTGGAAAATTTTAAAGAATAATTTATACTTTGTTTGCTAGGTTTTTGATACCACAATATATATAATGTTATTTGCTCTGAAAAGTTGATGAAAGGATTTTGACATGTCACATGAACACAATATTTCTCTTGGGATCATGGAGTTGATAGAAAGTTTAATGAAAATTATATCCCAGAGCACTGATATAGGAGATTTACTAGACAGGCTTAATGGATACCAATAAACAGGATGTGTCATAATTTGTGTACTCTATATATCTGCCATTACTTCCATGTCCATAGTATGTTTTATGAAGATACTGCAAAGTCACATGTCTCACACAAACTGCCAGATGAAATCTGTAGTTTGTACAGACTTGGGAGGTCACTGATTTTCTTTCTAGAATTAAGCAAAATGTACATGCACCTGTGTGCATGAATCAGGAAATAAATCAAACACAAAGAAATTTGGACATCTTCATTTTACTACTGGATATTATCTCTCCTGGTGAAAGTTATAAAGGTAAATCTGTACCTGTAACACGCTGTGAAGGTCCATAGAGCTTTGAGTTTTCAAGGCTCCCACATTTTCTCTAGACAGTTGGCTCACAGATGGCAGTGGTGATGTCAGCCTTACACATTGGCCACCTTTTAGCTCCCAGGAAGATACCTGGTACTCATTCCTATTAGAGGCTGAGTCGACCCCAGGGCCATATTGCGGCTAGAAGGATTAGGTCAGTTGGGGGTGAAAAAATCAACCTTATTGGGACTCAAACACGCGACATTCTGGCTTGTGCATAGTGCCTCAAGCAACTATGCTACTGCGTTGAATGCTAAAGCAGTTCCATAAAAATTTTCTTTGCAGTGAAACCTGCTTCATGTTCATGATGCTTGCTATTGTCTTTCAGGACAAAACTGCAGAAACACGTTATTTTTAGGTTATTCCATAAGTGTTTAATTAGATTGTTGCTGTGGTATTATCAATATAATTTGACAATTTATTGTACCTACAGTAATATATTCAGGATTATTAACAGGTGATAGCAGTTGTAAGCACAGCACAACCAACTATACCGTCAGTACCCAGACGGAACATTGTAGCTGGTGCAACAACATCACAAAGCAACAATGTTTTAAATAGTGGTGAATCGAAAAAGAAGGTGAATGTCCACAATGAGTCTGTTAGGTAAGCCTGAAAACAGTAACTTATTTACATAAATATCCTTTAAGTTGCAAGCTTTCCTCCAAGGTTTATAGTTCACAAATAGAGTGTCCCGCATATACATAATGGCAAGCAGTTCGAGTTTATAAGAGTTGTAATAAAGACTTCTAACCTTATTCATATAGATGCTTAATTTGAATATGGAAAATTCTGTAATGCACACATAAGTGTATAGCCCAAATATTGCTCTGTAGGAAACCCATGGTTATTTTTATTACCTTTGGGAAGAAACACAGCCTCCTGATTCAGATATAAAACATTAATAAGAATGGAAGTTTTGTTCAGTTTCTTATTTCTGTACTCCACAAAATTCTGGGATCTCATTCTTCAAGTTTTTTGAACATCAGAAGATTGGTAGGTAAATCTTAAGTATTCCCATGATTTTAATATATAATATTTTGTTCATAAACTTCTGACTTTCAATGGGTAAAGAGAACATGGTACTATTGTATTTGCATAAAATTATGACTTCCGCTTCATCATTCATTCATTGACATTCCCTAGATCCTTATATGTCTGGAAGACCAGTGGATGTAGAAATAGTCATAAGACAACAAGACAAGTCCCATAAATTATATAAATAAAAATTAATTATACATAATCCATCACAATTACACATGTTAATCCAAGACAATATTATATTAATATAAATGATAGTATTTCATCCTGGTGAGGTGCATGTCAATTTTTGGAAATTTTGAAGAGACTTTTAAATTTCTTCCTTCCAGAACATGTTAATTTATAGCATTTTGTTGTATTATGTTTCTCTTGATCCCAACAGAGAGAAAAGTCGAAGGGGCAGACCTCAAGTAGTTTCAAAGTTGCATGCCACTAAGAGGCCTTCCAAAGTGAATCGCAATCCCAGCAGAAAACCAGGATTTCGTTCTAATGCACAAGGATCAAATATCAAAACATACCAGACAGGAAAACTGAAACGACAAACTGGTGTTCATGTGAAAGATTTTATCCAGAAAGATTCATGTAGTGTTACTTCCATCCACCGAGGTGGTATAATATTATCAGCTGGAGAGGAGGTGGTAAGGCACATTCATTTATCACACAGAAATGCCATTTAATGTGTATGATGAATCATATACCATATTTACCTGAATTGAAGACAGTTCTGAATCTGGTATGACCTCCAACTAAGAAATATTTCTGCACAAAAAAAAGTAATTTTATTTATTAATTACATATAGTTATTAAAGCAAATATGAAATATAATAAATATTTGCAACTGTGTTATACAGCCATTTTCCTTCTTTGTAATCTTGACGTCACTAGCCTCTGTTGAGTGCCATTAATAATCTCACTGCTTCACCATACCTATTTTCTCTCTCAGCTTTGCACTCTTCACACTTCCCATCTTCTTTCTCACATTCTTTGCCTTCACCATTCCAGTGCCCATCCTTGTACTGTCATATTCTCTTCAAGGAAATTACTGTTTTCAGTTCATAGCTTCAGAGGTTCTTTGCACAAACGTATCATTGTTCTTGGCTCCTGACTGTGAAACATTTGTCTGTCCCTTGTTATGCTGATAGTAGAATATTGCTTGAATTCATTCATTCATGGAGCTGAGCCCTTCTTGAGAAGCTGCAAGTTGTGCAGCTAGTCAAGAACTTCCCAGCATTTTATGGAACCTGAAGGTTCATTACCATGTTCACAAGAGCCCTCCAGCAGTCCCTATCCTGAGCCAGATCAATTCAATCCATACCATCCCATCCTATCTCTCTGACATCCATTTTAATATTGTTCACCCACCTACTCCTTGGTCTTCCCAGTAGTCTCCTTCCTTCCGGATTTCCCACTAATATTCTATACGAGAATACATATTACATGAATATTAGCAGATATAGCATCTTTAGAATGTTCAAAAGAACGGTGACATCTCACAATAAAATTCAAGTTCTGGAAACAGGAAAAGAGAGGTGTCTTCCACTCAGGTAATAAGGTACTGCTAGACTCTTTGTGGATATTTTAGTTGGCTTTATGCTTATATTTTCTTTTGATATCTGCTCGGTATTTGGATTTTCAGTATTGATGTAATATGTTCTAAATTACACTTCACAGATCTTTATTATTGTTACAGGTGCGAATTCAGAAAGAGAGTAGTCATGACTCAGATGAAGATGGTGAGATAGAAATTGAAGAGAGAGTGGATGATGTGAATGTACTTTGCCTTTCCGCAGACATCCATACATCAAGTAGCAACATGGATGTAGTGGCGAGTACAACTTCTGAAGCCTTGTCAAATGAAAACAGATTGCCTTTAACTGAATTTCAGAGTGATCATTTAAATACAATGGATATCAGAAGTTTGTCTGGTGTTGAGACCCATGAGACGAAAGTAGAATCCACAGAGGAAAGAGGGTGTAGAGAAGATACACATATATCTGAAGAACAGTCCGAAAACACTCAGAGCCTCGCACTAAGGTCTAAAGAAAAGAACTTTAAGCCAGATTTAAAACCGGGAACAAGTGAAATCTCACCTCCCAAGGATTGTAGTGATGGAAGGGAAGGTGGGAAGGGGAGTTCGTTAGCTTCGAGTCATCAGGATATCCTGGAAAGCATATTCAGCTTACCACCACCAACTGAGGATATAATGCTTGATGCAAAAACAATTACAGAAGAGGAGAAAATTATACATGCAGAATTTTTTGAAGGAAGATCGGCAAAGACCCCAAAACGGTATCTGAAAGTGAGTGTGTAAGTTTGTCTTCTCACACACTTCTCCACAACATTTAGTCCGAAACATTATATACAATAGTTTTCAATGCTTCACAAATTGCATATACAGTAGACTCATGATTATCTGTACAAAACAAAGGGGAAAGTGCACAAATAATCAAGCTTTGGATGTGAGCAGGTGATCGTCGTGATTGTCGAATATGAAAATTTTAAAATATACACATAGCATCCCATTTGTTTGGTTACCTCAGAAATTGTGAGACAGAGAAAATGAATTGAACTTAAAGTTTATGTTCAATTCTTTTGCACAACTTTTGTTTGATACACTTTCATTGAATAAGTGTTTAGTGAGTTATACTGGAAATTCATGCAGAAACGCTTGTTGGGCTTCATGTAATGTAGTCATTAAAATTGTTTGATCTTAGTGAAAAATGAAGTGGCTCCTCAATTCTTCATAAAAGTTTTCAAAGATGAGATTTCATGGAAATCCATCTGTTGTTGTCTCTCATGGTGTTTGGTACATACAGAAAATAGACTTAATTGGCAGTCTGCAGGGTCACAGATGAACTTGAAATGGTGCAGAGGTAACTGCAAACCAGATAACCCATGCACAGATCAGTGAGAGTATACTGTACTGTAACCCTTTGCTTATTCCTTATAAGACACTAGTTTTGTGAGTCTGGGTTTAAATTTAAATTTTGAATGAGATTTTACTGGTTTACTGTACTAGAAGGGAAGGACCCTTCTAATGTTACTGTTTTGTATTGTGTTAAAGAGGAGTTAAACTATACCTACCTGTGTATTTAGAGTAGAGAATTTTGTAGGATGACTAGGTGACATGCAGTCAGTGATATCATGATATTATGAATATGAAGGGTATGAGTTTCTGTTAACAAGGTCCCTCTTCTTACTCCAAAAGAGAAATAAACACCCGATCAGTATTGGCTGAATTGGTTGTCATTGTTTGGTATGTGTCTGTCAGTTGATATTGACAGTATAATTGCTGCCCAGAATTCATCTATTTTCAAAATTGAATTTTAACTTATTTCAGTCCATGTTTGTAAAACTGAATGTTCTTGTCACTGTTTTCCAGTGTCCTTTCCATGTGTCTGAGACACAGTGTTTGTAAAATACCAGTCAGAATTGTTCTTAAAATTTAATATACAAAATTTTTTAAGCCCTTTTAGCACAGAATTGAAAGAATAATCAAAGAGAATGACTAGAACATAAGAAAGAATGTCTAGAAACTGAATGCCAGAGGTGTTTCACCAATCTAAAGTGAACAGTAAAAGAAAAATATGCTATCAGTGTTTGACGAAAAGGTGGGAGAGTTGAATGGAACAGACCAGTGGAATAATCCATGATGATGAGGTCAGTTTTATGATGTATTTGTTTAAAAGTGATGTGATTTTGCAATTAATTTACTATCACTTTAGCTGTCAGGCTTGGTGAGACTACCGACAGTGTTATGCCATGGTTCATGGACTGGAGGGAAAGGTAGAAAATGGTTGTGGAATGTTAAAGTGCACCTTAACTCTCAGATAAATATTTAGTGAGTTATTTTTGAGCTGAACCTAAAGGCCTTTATGTAACAGTCCATTATTCTAATCAAAATTGGAATTTATCAACAAAGTTTTAGTTAAGAATATTTAACTGATTCTTGTAAACTGTGCTGTCATTCATCATGTAAAGTAAAGCTATCCCTGTACCAGGCCGTGAAGGCCCATAGAGTTGTGAGATGTTGAGGGTCCCACATTATCTAGACCATCAGCTCAAAGGTGGCGGTAAGGTTGTCAGCCTTACGTGCCAGCAGCGCTTTACTCCCCAGGAAAATTATTTAATGAATTCCTGGTACTCATTTCTGTTAGAGGCTGAGTAAACCCCAGGGCCTAGTGTGGCTGGAAGGATTAGGTCAACTGAAAAAAATCCAATGACCTCATCGGGACTTGACCCCGCAACCTTCATCATGTAACTGTCCTTTTCAGGCTTGGGGGAAAATTATTCTGCCAATCTTGTCTTATACATAAGAATTGAATCTGTGATGTACATGGGGAATTTTTTTGTTCACAACAAAAAAATGGGGGTGTTTAAATTAAGCATTGATGTTTGGTATTTTATTTTGTGTGAAAGATTTGAATTTATAGAGTAGTAACTATTATACTAGCATATTTAACTGGTATATAGTGAAAATAAGATGTTTGAATCAATTTCCAGTTACAATAACAGCATTTTACTTAAAAGGTTTTGATGAGTTAAGAAGGAAGGAATTTGTAAAGAGGTCCCTGTTATAGAGATCAAGATAGGAGTTTGCTCTTTTAACCAGATTACTTTGACTGTGTCAATATAGATACGAAACCACATCTTGGAATGCTGGCGACATAGCCGACCCACATATGTCACTAAAACTTCGGTGAGAACAGGTTTGAAGAACTGTGGTGATGTAAATTGTATTGGTCGCATTCATGCATATCTTGAACAGATAGGAGCCATCAATTTCGGTTGTGGTAAGTAATTTAACAGCACATTGTGCATGTGCAGGTAATTATATGTGTATATTAGTGTCAGTTTTTTGCAGTTTCATGTCCAACACTGTGTTCTATAATTTATTAGAAGTTATTCACTACATGTTTCGACCAGTGTGGTCATCGTCAGATGTTAAAATTATTGGGCGAGGAAGCTGTTGTCTTCTTTTGTTGCTTATGTTGTTAAATATACAAGTCCTCTTGATGGGCATGTGTATTTAAGTTGTGGGTTATGTTCTTTCTTATTGTGTTGCGTGTCGTGTTCTCAAATATATATATGTCGGAAACATAGAAGGTTTCCTCAACCAGTTTGATTCTGAATGCATCTTCAATATAGATGTAATATATTGACTTTTCCATGTAAAATGATAAGTATTTGAATTACTTTTCACTTTTTGTATGTGACGGTGTTTATAGCTGCAAACTGCACTCTGATAGTGAATGAGCATATGAAACATCTGAGAACATCATCTCCTTAGTTTCAGATTGTGAAGGCCTCTTTCAAAAGGATAGGTCTTTGATTGAAGAGTTTGTCTTCTGGAATATAACACCATGTAGTCCATTGAAAGTCTGAAAGGCTCTGCAGCTCTGCTTGCCACCTGTGTTGACACTGGTTTCGTGCTCAGCTTTATCTTTGTACCTGAAGATTGAGGTGATATGTTCCTTCAGAAAATGGGTTTACTTTTGGTGGATTACATGGTGTTATATCCCAGAAGATAGAACTTTACATAACCACTGCTGTGAGAACCTCAAATCCTACAAAGTCTTGATTTGGCTTTTCTCTGCTCTTGGCCCAGAACAGGTCTCTCTTGCTCTCACGCTCTGTGACAAGGCTCTTTGTTACTCTTCCTTCCATACATATTGGTTCTTTTTGTTTTGAGTCCAAAATGGATAAAATGAAGATTCTTGAATATTGTAGAGTGCATTGCATGTAGTACATGATCTTAGAGAAATAAGAATGGGATAGTATGAGCTGGATTCATCAGGCTGAGGATAGGGATGATTGGTGGAGTCTTGTGAACATGGTATTGAACCTTTGAGTTCCATAAAATGTCAGGAAATTCTTGAGTATCTGAATGACTGGTGGTTCTCGAGAAGGACTAGCTTCAGGAAGTTAGTTATTATATATGCACCTGCATGTTTTGTACGGCTGTCCAAGTTGCCCTAATATTTGTGGCGTTTGAAAAACAATGTGAAGGAATTGTGCATAACTTGCAATATTAATTTTCTTGACTGCAGCGTTTCTCATTCTGTCACTGTTTATTAAAATATACTTTCTGGGCCTTCATATAAAGATTTTTAGTAATTTTCCTAAGTTGGTCATTTAACAGCATTGTCTATATATCATATATATATCATTGGTGACAGGATGATTAATGTATGTGGAGCAGATAGTGGAATGAGAATAGGCAGGTAAAAATGAGATACTCAGAGAAAACCCTCTCCAGTGCCACTTTGTCCACCTCAAATCTCACATGATCAGACCTGGGAAGTCGGTGCGTGAACTATGGCACTATCTTTAGTTATGTTATCCTATTTTAACACTTAACGGACCGATGATTTAAATATTTAAATCACCCAGGGGACCGGCATTATTAAACCTACTATCCTAACTTGTGCACTGTTCACTTTAAAAATTAATATAAAATCTCCTAATTAATTTTATGAACTAAAATTTTTGGAGAACACTTACCAATGCTCCGAGAAGTGCTTGAGAGTGTGATATTTCTGGAAACATTCCCCTTTGTGAAGTGGCATTACACACTTGCAAATGTAGAGAGTCATACTCCTTTTTTTGTGAACTGCGTAAACATGGCCTTGCATAGAAGGATGCTTCCCTTGGAATGTTCACTCTTCACAGTTTTGACAAGGGTATGTTTCCGCATATCACCCGAGAGTCATCCGGGGGGGGGTCCACATGAGGCCTGAATGGGGTGGGAGTTGATGGGCCCGGTCACACTAAGTCTGTGTCTGACTCTGGTTCTGCCGCCACCATCTGGTCTCCAGCCCAGGCCTTTGCCACATTCATCAGAAATGCTTTGTATTTCAATATCGAATCAGGGTTTAGATTTTTGTGATTTTTTTTTAGATTTTTTGCTGTCCCTGCAATCTTACTACCCACATTTTTTGTTGGAGCTACTGTCACTTTTACTGTCTGTGGCCACAATTCTTTGTTGTCACCTGTCACTGCCACTGCCACTGTCTGAGTCACCATCACTACGCGTCTCACAAGGCACGTAAGCTAGCTCATCGGAGAAGAATTCATCCTTGATCCATATTCCACTACTAACTTACTGGCTCTTACATACAGCTTGAAGACCGAAAAAAGGCATTTTCCTTTGGAATGGGTTAAGATAACAGCGAGGTCATGTTACTGAATACTAAGCAAACATTCCAGAGTTTTATTATGCAGTAGTCATGCAGCTGCATGGCAACAGAGCAAGGTATAGTGTGTTGTAACCTAATGTATCCTAAAATCGTGATATCATGCGACCGGTCCGCCGCGTTTAAAAGCGAAAAGCGTGATATCATGCGACCGGTCCTTCAAATGTTAAACAAGATTGTATACTTCATGACTGATTTTTGTGAACTTGTAAAACCTTAGTGTTATCAAAATTTGCTTGCTCAGGCTGGCATTAGTATGTATGTACAAATGGTCAGACACAGCACATGATGTGATTTAATACGGTATTTTAAGAATCTTTCTTTCAGCAAGTTTTTTTGTAAAGATTAATTATCAAAATATCATAAGTTCATTGTAAGGGCCTTTTACTGTATTTCTGTGCACTTGAGACAAACATAAAAATATATGTGTTTCACATGTTAAAAAAAAAGTCCTTTATAGAGCAAGCCCGCTACACACGCCCTTTGTACCTGATGTCCAATTCTGGAGGCTGTGAGAATATAGTGGCTTCTGCAGGTGGTCAGGGAAGGGAGAAGCTGAGCAAGGAACAGTTGGCAGCCCAGCACCAGGCTCGCATTGATGCCATGCGACCACGCAAAAAAAAACACATTCAGGTGAATTCATAACTCTGGGATTATGTTTTCCCTTCTTGAATTTCCTGCTGTCATTATGAGCTTTTTCCATTCATGTACAGAGTTTGGAAAAGTACTTTGTAGATTGTAATCAGGTGCTTATTTTCTGCAGTAGGTTTATGAAGAGTTTATTTTTCAGGATTCTTGGTTTCCACTGGCTGGTGAAGGAGGGTACACAATTACCCATAGTGAAGATGGAGAAGCTGTTCATACAACTGTTGTTATGCCACAGTCTCATAAAAATACTGTTAAAGTTCATATGGCTAAACCAGAACCTATCAAACTCATTTATTGCAACAAGTTCACAGAGTCTAAGCCGGTAAGTTTTCACATAGTTGTATTTTCTTATTTCTACTATAATATCGTATATGTTTACTTCAGGGTTTGTAACAGAACATTTCAGGTCAAAGATGTGATTGCTGTAATCATGGAGGCACTATGAGAACGGATATCTGTGTGTAAGATTTGAGGTTTTGACGGTGGTGGCTATGAAGAAAGCCGTCTTCTGGGATGTGGTGCCATGTAGAAATTGTGTTAACTGATGTTTCGGAGGAGCGTATTGCAGGTGCAACAGACACTCGGTCTGTTGCACCTGCTCTGCTGGTTTTCTCAAGGATTTCTTCTTGTCTTCTACCCTGAAGATGGAGGCGATACATTCCTCCGAAACGTCGGTAAACACAATTTCTACATGGCGCCACATCCCAGAAGATGGCTTTCTTCAAATATTGGTGTGTTCATGGAAATCAATATATCTGTATCTGAATTTTTTAAAACAAATGGCTGTGTTATGATTAATATAATAAACGATGAGAGTATAATCCCATTATAGATAATATTTATTGTATTCCTGTCAACCCAACACTATTTCCAGCAGGTGGAGTTTGCTGTCTAGGATGACATGTTTGAGCACATGCATGCCATCTTCTGGCCCTGGGGTTGACTCAGCCTCTAACAGAAATGAGTACCAGGAATTAATTAAATAATTTTCCTGGGGGGTAGAGCGCAGCTGGCGCATAAGGCTGACAACCTTACTGCCATCTTTGAGCTGATTGTCTAGATAATGTGGGACCCTTAACGTCTCACAGCCTTATGGGCCTTCACGGCCTGTTACAGGGATAGCTTTACTTTTACTTTTTTACTTTACATGCCACATTGAATCTCTCATTTACTTAGCATAAATTTTCCATGTAAACTGGATTGATTCTGAGGCAAATTAATCTAATCCACACCATTTCGCTCTGTAGGCATTCTGATTAGACCATGTTTGTTTTCATCTTCCATAAGCTGTCTCACATGGAAATGAAACTGAAGATTCAAGTCGAAAGAATAGCTGAGGAACTTGAGCACTGTAGGTCTTGCTGACATCTCAGTATCATATGTTTATGAATGAAGTTAATAGTTTCCATGTTTGTTACTATTAAAGGCTCCATATTCAGTTGAACTTCACATAGAGCCACTACTTGTTATGGACGTCCATGCTCATTCCTCACACTCTGAAGTAATTGGATTGCTTGGAGGAAATTATGACCCCAGACGCCTTGTGCTCCAGATATTGCGTGCTGTAGCATGTCGAAGTAGTAGCAGTGGCATACATTGTGATATGTGCCCAGGTAATACAGCATCGTGTTTCAAATAGTTGTTACTACTAGTACTAATGCTTTGGTGACAGTAATTTAATTTGCTGCTGGTAAACACATTTTGAAAGTTACACCTTTTATTTGAAAAATTGCTTGCTGTAGTACCCATAATAGGAATATCTAAACTTTGTGTTCCAGTTTTCGTAATTCTGGAAACAAAAATTAAGTATCATACCATACTTTTGGGGACAAAGTCTTTTGTTCCTTTGTCACTCATGAGTATATGATTGGTGCTTTTGTTGTATAGAGACTTATGTGGCTGAACACAGCCAAGGCTGTTACTGTATCAGGCTTGTTCAATTGTAACTCATCTGGGGATTATATGTGAAGGAGTAGAGAAAGGCTGTTAAAAATAGCCCCCACAGATACTGAACCAGTCATCTCATTGATACTCCAGTTGATGGATCACCAACACAGCTGCTATAACCACTGCATGACTGTAGCCTCGATGTCTTTGTATGATTCGAATCTGTGATCCTGTAGGAGGTTGAACACAAGGAAGTCACACAGTGTCAGGTCTGGGCTGTATCGGAGATGATTCAGTACCTTCCAGGATACGAAGTATGGGCCACCTAGAGATAGGAGTTGTAGTGCATCATGATAACACTCTCAAGAGTATGCCAGAATGCCTTCTCTTGATGGTGTTGCAGTTTGAGATAATGCTATTATATTTTTGGACATTATCCATCATCTTGTCTTTATCTAAAAACCGTCCTGTTTATTTTTCAATACTGGATCCTGTCTCCGTCTTCTGGTAAAACCTACTCAGTTGGGCCCAATTGATAGAGCTAGGCCAGTCCAGAGATAGGGACTAGCTCTATCAATTGGGCCCAACTGAGTAGGTTTTAGCTGAAGACAGAGACATAATCCAGTCTCTGAAACGTGCTTTTAGAAATAATCAGGACGATTTTTAGATAGAGACAAGATGATGGATAATGTCCAAAAACATAATAACATTGTCTCAAACTGCAATATAGTCTCAACAAACTGTAGTGTAGTCCTCTTCCTATATTAGGCTACAGAAACTGTTATGTCTCCATTTGATTTTTCCATCATTATCTTGGCTATTCCAGTCTTCTTCTGTAGAATATGTATGTGGTTATTAGTTTAGTTAAGTCTGTTCTGTTCTCTTTCATCTGTCCTGTGCATGTGTTATCATGCATTACTGTCACTGAATACTTTTACAGTATCTCAGACTGAAGCCAGTGAACGACTCCATGATGAAGGTCTAGAGGTTGTTGGTTGGTATCATTCACATCCTACATTTTTTCCAAATCCATCACTGCAAGACTTGGATACCCAAAGCCACATGCAGGAGTGGTTTGCTAAAACAGCGTCAGCCCCTCTAGTTGGTTTTATACTATCTCCCTACTGCCCTACCAGTAGAACATCAGCATCTGATTACAGGTATGTCATTTTTTGCCTTTTTTAACATCTAGTCTTTTCAGTATCATTTTATCTTCAGGTACTTAACAGTGCTTATAAGAGGGAACTATTATATGTGCATTAAATCTGCTATAAAGACAGAAGCATGTTTCATAGTCTGCAGAATACATCTTTCAACTTTGTTGTTTCCCTAAGGTATGCCACTGTCAGGAATTTCTCATAACTAAATTTGATGGAATTTTATGTTGAAATCCTGTATCAAAATGTTGAGCATAAGTGACTAACTAGATGCAGGCTGTTAGAGTATTTTATATGACTAAATTAATTTTTGACACCAACTCAGTTGTATACCTTTAAAACATTTTGAGTAAGTAGAAAAATTGCTGTCAGTCATGTATTAAATGTTAAGAGGTTAATGAACTGAGACACGTGAAGAAACCTAACTGCTTAAAAGATTAAAACTGTAATTCTGGTTTGGAGGAGGGGAGATATGAACTAATGAACTTCATGGAGCTGAGCCCTTCTTGGGAAGCTGCCAGTTGTGCAGATACTTAAGAACTTACCAACATTTTATGTGATGGAACCAGATGGATCAGTACCATGTTCACAAGAGCCTTCCACTGGTCCCTATCCTAAACCAGATAATATAATATAATATAATATATAAGATAATATAAACAATATTCTATATGCTTTCTTTTTCTCCCACATTTGTGCTACATATGTTGCCCATCTCACCCTCCTTTGCTTGATCATCCTAATTATACTTGGCAAAGAGTACAAGTTATGAAGCTCCTCGTAATGCTGTTTTCTCCAACCTCCTATCACTTCATCTCTCTTTAGTTCAAATATTCTGCTCAGCACTGTGTTCTCAAACACCCTCAATCTTTGTTCTTCCCTTAATGTCAGAGAACAAGTTTCACACCCATACATAACAACAGGAAAAATTGTAGTTTTATATATTCTAATTTTTATGCTTACATACAGCAGATGAGGAGTTAAAAGCTTTTGGACTGAATGGTAACAAGCATTACTCAGATTCACTCTCTTAATTTCTTCCTGAATCAAATTTTGTTTAGTTACTGTCATTCCCAAATATTTGAACTGTGCCACATTTTCAAAGTGTCAGTTGGCTATCTTTATGTCACAATTTTTCCCTGCATTCTGATGATGAGACTGCAACATATACTTAGTTTTTCCTGTGTTTACTTTTAGACCAACTTTCTTACTAGTGTCAGTTAAAGTTTATGTGTATTCCTTTATGTTATCTCCCAGTAGATTCACATCATCAGCACAGACCAGCAAGTGATGTGTCTCATTTAATTTCAGTCCCATCTGGTTTTCCTGGACCTTCCTAATGGCATATTCTAAAGCAAAGTTTAAAAGCAGTGGTGGTAAAACATCTCCTTGTTTTAGAAAATTTTGGATAGGAAAATTAGCAGACAAATGTTTACCTGTATGGACTTCACTGTATGTTTCATTTAAACACATTTTAACCAGCCTGAGTAGTTTCATGGGTACCCCAAACTCTATCAGAATATTGAATAATGCTTCCCTCCTATCTGAATCATAGGCTTTCTTCACGTCTAGAATAGCTGATGTTCAGTTCCATTATACTCCTATTTTTCTCCAGTATCTGACAAATGCAAAGAATCTGATCAGGAGTTGATCTGTTACATTGAAAACCACACTGGTGATCCCCAGTACTCTTATCTATGTATGGACTTAACCTTGAGAGGAGCATATTGGATAATATTTTGTATGAAGTTGATAGCACTAATATACCATGATAATTACTGCTTTCAGTTTTATTGCCCTTCTTGTAATTTGGTACAATAATAGACTCCTTCCACTGATCTGGCACTTCTTTATTCCAAATAGAATTAGAAGTGATTTAGGGGGTATAAATATGAAACTTGATCTGTTACACTAAGTGTAGAACAGATATTTAAGTATTTGAAGGGATGAACTAACTAGGCATGAAGGAAGTTACTCATACAAAATGAAAAGCTGTTACTTTAACCTCTGACCATTGAGCAGAGTCCTTGGTAGGCTGATGGTCACTTAGCCGTCTTAGAAATTCCTAACCTTCTTGGAACCTGAAGGTTCATACTGTGTTCACAGGGGCTTCTAACATCATTACTTTCTGTTCTCTCTGATGTAAATCAGAGAGAGAATGAGACATTCATATAATATTTTGATCGGATGATATAATGCAAAGAAACATGCATACAACCTAGATGTAGGTTGGTGGACAGCATTAAGTGGATCTTTGGAAATATTTATAAAGATGTAAATAGAACTAGCTTATGAGGAGGAACAAGATTAAAATTATTTGAGAAGAAGATATGAGGAAAATATGAGTGTACAGATTGAAGAAACAGGCTAATGGAAAAATTTATTTACAGGGAATTATCAGGCTCCATTCTGTGAAACATACTTGAGTTCAACATGATTTAGTATAGTATTTTTAGATTTTGGCACAGTAAAACTATTTGTGTTTGGAAATAGGAGAATAAAATTAATTGTGTACACTTCATGTAATTTTCTTCAGGTGTCTTATTGTTGAATCAAATAATGAGCGGACCAATATACCATACCGGTTAACAGTGGATGTTATATCAAATGAATTCGACCCCAGTACACTTCTCCGACGAATGGATGCCATATTTTTGTTGCATGAAGAGAGTTCAGAGGCAATGGTAGATTTCAACACAGAGTTCCGCTCTGAACCACCGCTCACATACTTGGAAAAGGTGATGCAGATACAGTATGAAATATGTATTAATAAGTTCAGAGTATTTCATGTTTGAAGGTACTGTTTTAAGTAGGTGAAGTTACATAATGAAAGTTACTTGCTTCTGGGATGTGAAGTTGTGTAATGCAAGAGAAGTTTATAACATTTTGGAGGAATGAGTTGCCTCCTTCTTCAGGATTGAAAAAAAAAGCTGATCATGGAAAAAGTGGTATGATATATGCTGGGGCAGGCATCCAAACTGAACAATAATGGGGAAAAGTGAAAGATCAGGGCCCTTAAATGGGTTGTTTTTTCTTTTCAAAAGAGACAGGAGAAATAAAGCACGGGTGACCAATGGCAGTCGTAAGTAGCCAAAAATTAAGAAGGGCAGCAGGCACAGTATATAGAGGAAAGAAGAAGCAAAAGAGGAGGAAGATTTTTAATGTGGGTAGGAGAACTGGCAGGGCATTGTCCAGGAGGTGAATGAAAAGGAGCTAAGGGTAAGAGGAGCATGGATTGGTCATGCCATAGCTCAAGCGGTTATTCGCTGGCTTCCCATCGCAGTGGCCCGGGTTTGATCCCGGGTCTGGTCAAATGGGATTTGTGGTGGACAACATGGCGCTGGGGCAGGTTTTCTTCGAGCACTTCGGTTTCCCCTGCCAATCTTCATTCCACCAGTTGCTCCACAATCACCCTCACCTATCATCTGGGGCTGGTACAATAGGCCTGAAGTGGCCACAGTACAAGGGACTTGGTCCCACCCCACTAGCAATAAAAAAACAGGAGCATGGATGGTGGGAGGACAGACAAGATTAAAACTGGGGCAGAGGGAAAGATGTGGAGGGGGGTGAAAAGAAGAAGAGGAAGAGGAAAGGCTGTACAAGGCAGATTGGTACATTGAAAAGGACAGTGGACCTAGCAGCTGTTTTGACTGTCAGTGTGGCCTATATGCATATTACATTTTCCACACTCAGCTTACTGTGCTTGCTTGGGTTACTGCACTTGTCGTTGCTACTTTTCAGCCTTGAAGACAGGGAATGTATTCCTTCAAAATGTCTTTAAACTTCTACTAGAATACATGGCATTGCAGCCTGGAAGATGGTACTGTTCATAGTGACCACTGTGAGGATCTGAAATCTTGCATGAAATTTGTGACCACAGATTATTTTTACATAAACTGATGGCTGTGAGAAGTAGTTTAGTACTGAATTCTGTAGCGATATATAAGATACCCACGTTGAAATTTTTCTTTTTAAGTGTTGTCAGTATTAAGACGAGTACCAGGGACCAGATTTTGAAGGTGGTTTACTAGAATTGGATATGTCAAGTAAATAAGCATTTCATTTGTCTGCCACAGCCTTATGTCTGATATATTGTAATTTTTTTCTGTCTGGTTTCAGTGTGTAGAAAGTGCTAGACAGCATCTTAAATCTTCTCTTCCACCCCTTGCAGAAGAAGCTGAAGAATGCATACTAAGAAGTGTGTTACAGGCTTGCAATACTTTGATAGTGTTAAAGCAGACAAAAAGTGAATTAGTTGCAGAGAAACATGGATAATTTCATACAGTCCTATGTTGTAAGACATTTCAGGTATTAAATCCTTTTCTCTACCACAAATTCTTGATCAGAATTTGTTCTATATATTGTATGAAGATCCTTTTGCTCTCATAAGAATTTTATATCCGTCTGTGTGAGAAGGTCAGTTGGGATTCCTGTTTAAGTTAAGGTAAAAGGCAAATTGGGATTTGTGTACTGTGTAAAATGAAATTGGTACAGACAACTTCCAAGACTTGTTTCAGTTTCTGAAACTTTGTAAATAACACTCTTCAGCCCCAAGTCTGAGTACATAACAGATTCAGATTCTGTGACTGATATCTTATGTTGGGATTTAACATTAAATGAAATGTGGAAGCACGTAACAGTAGTTGAAGAATCTAGAAGAAATTGCCTCTTAATCTGCATGTGAAGGGTACAAACTGTTTGACTGGCATCTCAGTGATGCAAAACAAGACAAATATGGAAAGCTACCATAGCTCTTAAATTTCTCTCTCTACCTTAACATCATGTTCTACCAATATGATGGACAAATTATACATGTACTTTGCTATATATAGGAACTGAATGTGGCAAAGTGTATGTTGGGCATACAGGCCAAGCATTTAGACTAGATGCAAGAATCATATGAGGCATGCCTGGGCCAACCAGAGAAATCAGTGTTGGCGGAACATAAATTTGAAATAGGCCACAACATAAAATTCGCCAGTACCACTATACTGGATAAAGCGCTGGGCAATGTGGACAGCTTGATAAAGGAGGCTCATCCCAGAAACATTAACATTCAGTCCTGATACCTGGTGAATGATGCGATAAAGCAGTACCGAGCTGAACCAATCCGGAGAATGGACCAGGATAAACAAACTGCACCCACTAGCATTCCATAGGCTTATGATCACCTGATCACAGGCCATGAGTTGGTATATAGCCTGGAAGGCCTGAATCTTATGTCACATCATATTATGATGGTGGGGACAGAGATGATCCCTGGAACACAGTAATTTTTAACCAACTGACACAGCTGATAGCCTGAGAAGATTTTAACAATTTTCCTATACTTTTCTGAGGGAAACTTTGTGTGCAAACATAAATGATGAGTGCTGAAAACAAACTACTGTATTCAGATGTAGAAAGGATACAGCCAATGGGCAGGAAGATACTACAGATGGAGAATTGCATGATTCAGGCAAGTCTGGGCAGTGAAGTCAGGACTATGATAGCTAGGCAAATTGCTCATGTGGGGCAGACAAGAATCACATACAGAATTTTGGTATGTAAACTTACTGGAAAATCAAATAGGATATTGGAAGATAATATTAAAATAATTCTTAGAGAAATAGGTCATGAGGTTGGGAGGTAGATGGAGCTGGTTCAGGATTGTATCTAGATATGTGCTTTGATGTTAACAGTGTTGGATCTTCAGGTTCTGTTTCCAGAGGTGTAGTTATATAGTTAAGAACTTTGTTAGAGTAATTGAAATGATCATAGTAGTGAAAATATTGTTACTGATATTAGTGTATGAAATGGGACCTATTTATATAATTTCAAATGTAAATACTTATATTACAATAATAGCAGTTATATTGTACATACAGTTTCCACTGAATATTGGGAATTTTTTAAAAATTTTGTATTTATTATGTTGTGCTGAGTAAATAACTGTTTAACATTGTCATTTCATAATGCAAAATAAAAATAAATATATGACTTACATTGAATGAAATGATTAACTTTTCTTGAATTATACAAGTTTGGTACTTCCAGAATCAGCTTTTTCCCAATTTCTATAAGATGTTTTTTTTATTGCTAGTGGGGTGGGACTAAGTCCCTTGTACTGTGGCCACTTCTGGCCTATTGTACCAGCCCCAGATGATAGGTGAGGGTGACTGTGGAGCAATTGGTGGAATGAAGATTGGCAGGGGAAACCGAAGTACTCGGAGAAAACCTGCCCCAGCGCCACTCTGTCCACCACAAATCCCACTTGACCAGACCCGGGATCGAACCAAGGCCGCTGTGGTGGGAAGCCAGCGACTAACTGCTTGAGCTATGGCGCAGCCTATAAGACTCTTGGTACTTTATTGTAAAGTTAATGAATTGTATGCTCTTTATGTAAGATTTGAATTTTTCACGGCGGTGACTATGAAGAAAGCAGTCCTCTGGGATGTCACGCCGTGTAGATATTGTGTTAACCGACATTTTGGAGGAATGTATAGAAGAAAAATAAGAAACTCCACGTGGAACCGGCACAAGCAAGTGCTCACAGAGTATACTGTTTGTTTAAATTACTATTACTGCAGGTTTGTCTTGATTGCAGTTTTTGATTACACTATAGAGATGAAACATAATCGGAAAAGGAGCCTTATGTTTAACATTTACCATCTGTGTATTGCATTATTATGATAGCACATGCTTGGGTTCAGCGGGCCTAGCATCGCATTGTTTTCAGCATAAATATTATCACCCTCAAGGTGAAATCTGGCCATGAGCATTATAATAGCATGAGATTTGAATCCCCTGATCCAGCCAACAAGCACTGAATACATAAGGAGCATGTAATTATTATTCGAGTACTAGGTTTATTGAGCCTTATTATAGGTATTGTAATATAGTCCTTCTAGTCTTCCTTACAATAATCATAGTATTTAGGATTATATACCTGGGGGAGGGGACACAAGGAATTAGTTTTTGTCAGTCATAATGCATAATAAATTTTACTACTGATCATTCAGTCTTATTAGCACATAATACATAATAATTACCCAAGTACCACCCATGGTATAACTGTCTAAGTAGTAGTTCAATAAGCAACACACTTCAATATTCTCCAAAATTATATATTTAAAAGGAAATGCACATTCTAATTTTGGTATTATCAGTACATTTCATATAACAACTCTGTAAATGCAATTACAAATGCATGGTTATTCTTCATACTCCCGTATAAATCGGCAACCATTCCTGAGACTCCTGTTAGTCAGCACTGTTTATGTCTGCCTAGAACAAGAAATGTTCAAGTTTGTAACTGATTATAGAACAGATGTGTATAAGATTAGATGAAAACAAGCTTGTAGGTTACATTTTATAGTCAATTAAACCAAGTTTTAGAACAGCATTTGAAAAAATTAATTTAAAGGTTGTAAGCATTTACTCAGGCTGTGATTTGTGCATCCAGACATTAATTACCATAAAAATGGTAAAAATAAAAACCATGATATTGACTTTTATTCTGCTACATGTGAACAGAACTGTCGCATCTTTACTTACAGCAGCCTTGAGAGCTTGGTCTAAATCTGCTATGAGGTCTTCTGATGACTCCAGTCCTACTGACAGTCTCACTAGATTATCTGTGACACCAGTTTTTTCCCTTTCTTCACGAGGTATAGAAGCATGGGTCATCACTGAGCTGAAAAGTAGAGAAAAAGAAGTCTGAAATATTTAAAAACAGAAATCATATTTAATAAAAAAAAAGGTCTGTAGTGCTTTGTATGAGGATTAGAACAGTGCCAAAACTATAAATGTAGCAGGATGTTAGTGTTCATGAATTTTAATAGCTGATTAACAATATCATTGCGCTGTTTATTTCAAATTCATTTAAATTAGGTTCAAATTATGAGAATATTTGTTTTAAAATATAACATACATTTCTCCACATCAGTAATTTAAAATGCATCCTCCCCTGAGAAACAAAACAGAATTCTTCTATACTACTTATTACATATTCTAAACACATACGGAAGCTCTGCAAGACTCTCATATCCTCCGAGACTTTCAGCAAGTGTGAACACTTTGAGCGCCTTCAAAAATGCAGATGATTCATTCAGTCCACCTCTGATGTAGAATGAAAGTATTCCACTATGTCCATAACACTGATTCTTTGCCAATTCATGCTGGGGATGTGAAGGCAAACCTATAAATATTAAATACTTACGAGTATAACATAACCCTCTGTAATTTGAGATGTAACGGAAATGTCCTTTATACTGTAAAAGTAAGGTAAGTTAAAGCCATCCCTGTGCTTAATTAAGCACCATGCCATGAAGATGTATGGGGGAGTTTAAGTATAGCGCTGTCATTCTTGACCTTGGCACCAGATGGAGGTTGATGGTCAACTCCATGCCCCGTCCACTTTACCCCTGGACCCATTGGCCAATCTCAATGCTGTGGAAAAGGGACAGATCTCTTGCGTCTGCTGAGAATTGAAACCTAGTCATCCAGCCTGGTGCTATACTGACTGAGTTATCCCCAAAACTAAGGAAACTGAATGATTGAAGAGTTCTGCCTTCTGAAACATAACACCATGCAGTCGAATGGAACTCAGCTGATGTTTCACAGGAACATGTTACCTCTATCTTCAGGGTTGAAGATTAAGCCAAAGAAAAAGCCAGCATGAAGCAGACTATGCTATCTGCTTCATGCTCATGTCTCGTTTTGCTTACTCTTCAACTTCAAAGATGGGGTGGCTTGTTCCTCTTAAACGTTGGTTAACTTTCAGCAGACTACATAGCATTATGTCCTAAAAGATAGAACTCTTCATAAGCACCGATATGAGAGCCTCAAATCCTACAAGGAAGCTGAATATTTCCACAAAACAGAATTTACAAGAATTTAACTAATATTCTATATATGAATATCACAGTCTGTTCTAAAAATTGTATTTCCAAATATCAAGGAATATGAGTACAAACACAGTTCACAGTCATACACCAAAGTAACTTACCGATGAAGCAAAAATACTGTGATATTTCTAAGCCCTGCTGTATTGAACATTCACCTTCCATGAAAGGCAAGAAATTTCTTGACTCAGCATATCGAGGAATTTTTTCCATGGAGTTACCATTTAGGATTTTCGATAATAATTATTTCATTCATTTTAATGTATAGTATAGTATTTTATTGCAAATATTTGTGTGGATTATATAATTTTAAATATGTTGTCCAGCCCTATAATAACTAGAAATGGAGTTCAACAACGGGATTCCCTAGCCTGCCTTTTGTTCAATATAGCATTAGAGAAGGTAGTTAGAGATGCAGGCATCAACACAAGGGGAACTATATTCTATAAGTCAGTTCAAATTTTGGCATTTGCAGATGATATTGATATAATTGGTAGAACACAAAAATCTATGAAAGAGGCTTTTCTTAATTTGGAAAGAGCAGCAAAAAAGATAAATCTACAAATTAACCAAAATAAAACAAAGTACATGCCGGTAAACAAGAAAGACTGTGCTAATGGACCTGCATATACTGAAATTGGCTCATATAAATTTGAGATTGTATGAAGTTTTACTTACCTTGGATCAGAAGTTAACTGTAAAAATGACATCAGTGATGAAATAAAAGAGCATGTACTTACGAGGAATAAATGTCTCGTTGGCCTTAGGAAACATCTGAAATCCCAACTAATACCCAGGAAAACCAAAACTGTGATGTATAAAGTACTTATAAGATCAGTGCTATTTTATGCCTCTGAGACCTGGCCACTGTCAAGATCGGATGAAAGACTGTTAAGTATATTTGAAAGGAAGATCCTGATATATCTTTGGACCAGTGGAAGAAAATGGAATATGGAGGAAGAGGTATAGCCATGAGCTATACAAACTATTTAATGAACCAGACATTACTGGATTTATAAAGGTGAAGAAGGCTTGAATGGGCTGGACACACAATACGTGCCAGCGAGAATAGAACGATTAAGAAAATACTTAATACTAAACCAGAAGGAAATAAGTGGGAAGACCAAGATTGAGATGGGAAGAATGTGTGTGGCAGGACATAAGAATTTTGAGTGTAAAGAACTGGAAGAATGACGAGCAATCCTGAGGAAGGCCAGGACTCAACAAAGGGCTGTCATGCCAGTGATGATGATGATGATGATGATATAATTTTAAGTCATCTTGGTACTCAGTTTCATGACTTGAATGTTTCTCATATTTGAAAAGTGATATCTGTTATATTTTGGCACACACACACACAAGAGTATGTAAGTGATTCAAAGGGAAGGCTGGTTTGAAAAATAAAATAGAATAAATTTGTTGAGGATTTTATTGAGAACAAACTTAACTGGAAAAGGGACTGTGTATGAAAAACAGACTTGTATGGTCTTTTCAGTTTTATCACATTGATGCTTAAATGTATTTTGTTATGCAGGTTATATATACCTGGATGAACAACTTTCTCAACCAGTGGATGTTTTTCCAAGTAAAGTGCCACTTCTAGGCCATTCTTCATATGTTCACGCATGCGGATATGCAAAGTCTTCACACTACGATTTACCAAGTAGCAATCAAATGGAGATGGCACAATTCCCAAAGCTGCAAAGTACGAAGGTCATAGTAAAACAGCAGGAAGTGGGTCAAAGCAGAATATCCTCCAAAATGAATTTATACGGGGTGTTTCACAACTTTAGGGCATAACTGCAGGAGATGATTTCCTAGGTCTTTGTGATCAAAAAAGTTCATATAAACATGTGTCCGATTTTGGACAGTTATGGAGTTATGACCGTTTTTTCATCCCCGTACACGCCCTCGTGTGAACCGAGATGCTTTGCTTGGTCGCATTCTGGACGCCGCTGACCACTAAGAAACAGTCAGCTGAATCTGCTACGTGCTGCCCGCGTGGTTCACAACCAAGTGGCAGCTTCTGTTGCGGCCGGCGGTGGCATTTTCGAAAATCAGCTTTAAGCACCAATCAATTCAAATTAAAGGTAATTTCACGAGTTAACTTTACATTCATACTTTAACTGTATCATGTTGGTTTATTATTTTGTTCCATTTATTGTCAGTAATCGTTACCTTCTATTCTCAGTTTAAAACGGTCATAACTCCGTAACCGTCCAAAATCGGACACATGTTTATAGGAACTTTTTTGATCACAAAGACCTAGCAAATCACCTCCTGCAGTTATGCCCTAAACTCGTGAAACATCCTGTATAATGACTGTTACCACCATTCAGCCTAAAATCTTTTTATCTTCCCATGTCCAATCTTTTAAACATAAAAGACTAAATTTATACAAAAATTATAATTTTATCTCTTGTTTTATATGGATGTGAAATAGGATGCTTGAACAACAAAGAACTTTAACCAGAAAATGTGAAGTCAAGAGACCACTTGGGAGATGTGTAAATAGGAGGACAATATCAAAATGGATCTTTAAGGAAATGTAAGAGTGAACTGAACTCATGTCGGTTGCTTCTGGGTGGGTTCTAATGGCAAGCACCCATTAACACGATAATGAACCTTCTGGTTCCATAAACAGCAGGGAATTTCTTTACCAACTAAGTGACTATAAGCTTCTGAAGGACTCTGCTCCATAGAATTATTTAACCTCTGTTGCCTTTGGGCTTACCTTGATACTTTTAAAGGTACAGAACACACTGTGATTTAGGGATAAGAGACTGACTAGTCAAAGAAGTCCCTGGTGAATTCAGAAGTGTGCTACAATTCAAAACAACGGGTATGTGAACTCATCTACATAATTCTTATCATTAGTTGCTGGAAGATGTTTCAAGAATTTTGTTGCAAAATCCTACTGTAAGACATAAAACTGCAGACTGCAATTCTTTATGAAATCTGAACTACAGTCACTGTTGGAGTTTTACAATATTTACAACACCTGAAAAGTACATACTCAAATAGCATACACAGTAATTAAATAAATATTCTAACTCCTACATATTTTATTAGAATGTATAATTTTTTAAGTTAAAGTCAGATCACCAGAAAGCATGTACTAATCAGGATTAATATAGTGTGTTTAAATCCACTGACAGAAGGAAAGAAGAGGTCATTTGTTGAGTTTCTTTCCATAACTGCAGCAACACACCTCACAGAATTGCTTTAATGAAGTGGGAAACCTTGACACTCTTCACTCTAAGACTACATGGAAAAGAATTCTGAAACAAGAACTGATGCTGAAAAGGACATTCTATATTTATAACAGATATTCTGTTTGGAAAAATGAACAGATATATGGTTATTCACTCCTAAGCTACATATCAGTACAAAATAAATAATTACACAGCCAACTTACTATTCTGAAGGAAGCGAAGACGGGTGTGGACATCTTCATTGTTAGTAGTAACTGCACCCATTATCACATCTGAATGTCCGTTCATATATTTGGTTAGTGAATAAACTACAAGATCAGCTCCAAAGCTCAGTGGACGCTTAAAAATTATACAAAAACATGTTATTTAATTTTATAATCTAATGCTATGTATAATTAAGCTATGCTTCTTAAAAGAATGAGTTTATTCCTTCCATGTATTAGAAACAATATAAGCAAATATTACATTTATGAAAATGGAAAATTACTTGAAAATAAGATGTGAGGAATGTATTATCCACTGCTAGAAGAATGCCCTTCTTGTGAGTGATTTCAGCAATTTTCTTGATGTCCATAACCTTCAGCAGTGGGTTTGTTGGACTTTCTAACCACACCAACTTTGTGTTGGACCTGATGGCTTTCTCAATACTGCTGAACTCAGAAGCATCAACAAATGTAGTTTCCACATTCATACATGCTGCTGCCTATTTTCACAGAAATTTAGTACAAAATAATGTTTGATTTACATTAACTCTTTCAATGTGCGAATTTTCAAATTATAACAAATAACTATCCTGTTTACTATGAAGTAAATAATTTAGCCACCATGAATTAGGACTAAAGCAATTTTTTCCATCCGATTAATGAAGTGCAATACACAGTTCTGTTCTGACAATAAGCATTAGCGATCTGGGTTATTAAATACGGACCACAATTATTAGTTAAGAAATGAAAGATTATTATTTTGCAAACATACATGTATTTCTTCACATCAGAAGAAAGTAGGAATTCTTCACTCAGACTTACCAGTGATTCTCTATAAAAGTGTAAAAAGTACAGTGCCAAACGATATAAAGACAATATAAAACAGAACAATAAATGCAATTCATATACTACTTTTCCATAAAATTATACCAGCACTGATCTGAGAAATTAGACTAGAACCATAGATACTTACCTTATTAAAATAGCGGTATGTACCTCCATAAAGATCATCAACAGAGACAATATGATCACCAGAATTTAGGAGATGAACTATAGCTGTAGTTGCTCCTAATCCAGATGCAAAACACAATCCATATTTGGCACCATCCAGAGATGCAAGACAGGCTTCCAATACATGTCTGGATGGGTTGCCACTTCTTCCATATACATAGCCCTGTTAAACAATACAGGTACACTATCAAATGAGCTATGATAGGGCTATGATACCTTCTCAATTATCCTCACAAGGCTGAGTGGACCCCGTTCCAGACCCACTACTTCTCAGAAAATCTGGTAGCACCATGATCAAACCCAGACCTTGGATCTGTAGCCAGAAACTCTAGCCACCAGACCATAGAGGCAGTCTATTCATAGTAAAAATCTTCAATGTTTTAATATTTTATTTTCATATTTAATACATTAATAGTTTTAAAATATATAACACTTAATTCACCTTATACAAAAGAGGCATTACATAAACATAAAACTTAAAATAAACACTCCCACTCTGTAAACACTGGCCAATGTAGACAGGACAGCAGACCAAAGAAAAGGGTGAATGTAAGAAAAGTTGTATGCATCTGACAATGGCCAAAAATGGGGCTGAAACTTGTAGTAGTTAATACATGATGTATAGTGCAGCTGTACAAACATTGTGGTGATGAAGCATTAATAGATTAAGGTTTACAATTCCTTGGTAGAATAGTATGATCTGAAATGCAAAATATTATTTCTTAATGATAATGCCTACCTTATCCTTAGCTGGTGCTTCCTGTTTGAATGTGGTTGACAAAGTGATGGGCGGAACAACAGCACCTGAGTTCCATCTTTCAGGTTCCTGACCTACATGAATTGCCTTTGTTGCAAATCCTGGTTGTTGTTGTAAAAAACCCTCTTCAGACATGATCTGTATGCTAGTTTCACAGACAATAAAAGCATAACTGATCACAAAATATGTACATGTGCAAAAAAGTAACACATGTTCTAAAGTTTGTGACAATGGTATATTAATATAATTATTGGGTTTCTGGATGTTATCCATTGTGCTGTTTTTTATCTCTGGACTGGAGGTATGGACCAACTCTATTGAGTAGGCTTTCATCTGAGTATGGAGACAAGAGTCCATCTTCAAAACTTGTTTTTAAATGAAAAGCAGGATGATGGCTAATGTCCAAAAAGTCAATAACTGTAAAGTAACAGATGTTCTTCAAAGTTTTAAAAAATATATCGTAAACAGTAAGAGCTTTTGTAAATCATGAACAATTATATTTAGAAATGAAATGACATTTAACAATACAATTATACAGCTTATACAGACCTATATGTGAAAACTGATTTGTGTGTTACAAAATTTGTGGTAGAGTCAAAACGTTTCTGAATTTTTCGAACAATAACTGAATGCCTTGGCATTTGCGTCTGGGCTTGAATGTGGATGAGTCATTCATTATACATGCATATTCTGTAAGTGTACAGAGAATGTTAGGAACATCAAAATCTGTTTAGTTCAGCAATCTTTTTTATTTTCATAACATGGCACAACAAAATGTCACAACTTGAAGAGCAAGCCAATAAGTCAAGACAATGGGCATACACACGGCAGGGTATGTGTTCACACTGCATACTTTTACAATCTTATTTTCCATGAGAAGAAAAATAGGCCAACAAAAAATGTGACTGAAATGCCAACATTATAAGAACTGTGACAAATTATCAGTATGAAGTCCGAAATGTGAAAATATTTAAGTTTTGAACATACAATTAAACTGCAAAGTAATATTTGACTGAGCTAAAGCAAAATGAAAGTTTCCTTAACACTTTTATCACAGACCCCAAATATTGAACTTAAACAAAATCCAGTGAGCTATTTTTGGAGATTAAATATGGATAAACATACTTCCTCATAATGCTTTCATTCTATGAACTCAACGCAAATAATGCATAAGAAGCTTTTCCTTAATTTTCTGCATGAATATACTGAGTTATTCATTAAATTATAACCTGTGGATAACATGACATCTAAAATATCTAAACTGTCTGTCAGAATTATATCACACTAAATATTTATCGCTGAAGAGGTAACAGCTGGGAGATGATGGACATCAGCTTGACATTCTTTTGCTCTGAAGCAAGCACAGTAAATTATAATAGTATCTTGTAGTGCACGTCTGCATGAATATTCCTTATAAATTGCATACATGATTTCACTTTATGTATCAGTAACATTTATTTGTATTTCGTACAAAAAATGTGCGAAACAGAGGTTAGAAGTGTAACTGAAATCATGAGCAATTTGAATGCATACGCTCATAATTCATGCTCGCCCTAGGCAAATCATGTTTGTTTCCCCGTGCAAAGATTAAGAAGTGTTTCAGTGTAATCTACGTGAAGCACTACAATTAAGAATTATGGGGAAGTTGGCCCCCTCCGTGTGAAATAGTTCTCCTTAGCATATATTGTAACGATCTTCCTCATGATACACGTGCTGATACTAACGAGCAACAAGGAATCGGGACAGGAGGTCGAAACATCGCAAACCGAACAAAATAAATTCCGAAAGATGATCAGAAAAGCTGAAGCTGAGAGCTGCACCCAGTATAAGCATTGTCCAACTACATTATCCAAAAAACCATGTCCACCGACAACGAACAAATTCCTTAAACCAGTCATATACTTACCCACGGTAACACCGGCCCGGAACCTTTTAGCAACGGAAGCTCCACGTCTACATCTCAGACAAATGACAGTCTGGGTGTGTTATCAAAGGTCAAGGTTATGCCGCCCCTTATCGTATTGTGACGTATGTAGACCCGTTGCTGGCCAAAGACTCGTTAAACACATTCTCGATGTTCTCGATGCAACAAGTACGCAGGCAGCGATAGAAAAGATGCCGTTTTTACGCAACGGCGACGTAAACACACCTCTATAACAATAGAGGCATTGCTGGAAAACGGTGTTTTCTGTTGGTTCCTCCCCGAAGCTATATAACGAGGTTCCCAGAATAATTGAGAATTGTTGTAACCCGTGCAGAGGCGGAGTCGAACACCTCCACCGTGACCCTGCGAGTCGTAGGAGGCGACGAAAAGGGGAGTCTCAAATCTTAGACAGTAAAATGTGGTCGCGAGTCCAAAGGGACTCGGACCGCAGAAAGCCTGCACTGGCAAGCCAGCAGCATATACAAAAGACAGACCCGTCCTTTTGTCAGAGAGGGCGCCCCACCCATCAAGACCGTAACTGTGAAACAGTAATAAATACCTGGTCATGAGCCCCAGATGGGGCTCGATATCAAGACTAACTGACTGACTGACCGTTAGCGGCAATGTGACTTTGACTTTAAATTGAGAGTTGTGTCGAGGCGGAGTCGAATACCGCCACCGTGACCCTGAGAGTCGTAGAAGGCGACGAAAAGGGTAGTCTCTATTCTGAGACAGTACATAGTATATGATTATATAACAAAATTATGCATGCAACAAGCAGAAGTCATATAAAATCATGAAAATGCAAATATTCACAACACTGGAAAAGGCGAACCCCGACACGGGAAACATAAGAGGCTTAAACTTGGCGGCGGTCAAGCATACTATCGTTGAACTGACTAGACTGCTCTTGCAGGAGGAGCTGCTAATGATAGGGTATGATCTGTTGTGCTGAGCCTGGATTGACAGAGGCCTTGTATATGTCGTACATACATTTCATAACATGTAAAATGTAAATTGTACACACTGACAACAGACTTATTACTACTGACTTTGACCCTGGCAGGCCCGTCCTCTCGTCAGAGAGAACGCCCCACATCAACAAGCCTGCAACTGACAATAAATATTTGGTCTTAAGCCTCAGAGGGTGTTTATTCCAAGACAGACTGGCCGACTGACCGTCGGTCGTAATATAACTTTGGCTTAATTGACAGTTAAATTGAGAGTACAAGGACGAGAATGGAGCATGTCCTAGAGATTTGTGAAATGAGTAGACTAGCGATAGCGCTATGATTGATTGTGGTTAAGAGTGATTGTAAAAAATGTCAATTAATCCAACAGTCCAATCTATAACCCGTTATTATTCGTCACTGAACCCCGAACACGCGACAATACTAATGTAAGCGATTAAATTAAGTAGTCTCAAAAGAGAACTAAAAAGTGTCCTGACTAGTTAGTTCTTTTGGAGCACTGCAACCAGGACCCAGATCACAACTAAAAGTATGGTGGGCTACAACGCCATACAAAAATTTGTCACTGAATATGGACAGTTTTGTGGCAGGTCATTTGGTTTGGATGTCTTTTCTAAGTGTCCTGCAAAACTGTTCGCTTTTTCTTTTATCACTTTCGGTCCAGGTCTGCTCCGCGGTCCTAATTGGTGGGATGCGTTGTGTCGGTTGTTTTAATCGCTTGTATGCTTTCCAGGGTGAGTAATCGGTGTCAGCTGCCGCTGCCACCTTCGAAGGTGTGTCCGGAATGTTTCTTCTTTGATCCTTTTTATTTCGTCTTTTAATTTCCTATCCGCTTCCTTGACCTGCGTTTACCTTCGGGATGCCGACTCACCTGCCACCTACGTTTTTCTTTAATTTGGTCCTTGACTTCCCATTGGTATTCCAGATATTTAGTTTGAGGTTTGTCGTCTGACGTTGCCTCCATGCTGTCTTTTTTATTAGGCTAGTGAATTCTGCAATAGCCTCTTCGATATCTGTCGCTGTTTTGAGCGGTATGTTGAGTCGTAATTTTTCTTCGATTTGAGTTCCGAATGCTTCCCAATTTTTTGGCTGCTGTGCAATTTTAGAGGTTTTTGGAGAATTTAATATACGTACTGATGGAGGTGATTATTGCTGTGTGATCCGATGCTATCTCTAGATTGTGTCTTATGTCTAAGGAGTTATGAGATAGCTCTTTAGAGATAAAGAAGCCTAGTAGATCTGGAGCTTTGTTAATATCTGTTGGCCAATAACTTGGTTCACCTGTTGATAATATTTCTAGTCGCGTTTCTTAAATGGCTTGGTATAGTTCACGACCTTTAGGATTGACTAAACAGGATCCACAGCATTGGCGTTTCGCACTTAAATCACTTCCTACCTGAAATCTGTGTCTGTTTCTAATTTTGTGTTCCGTTCGTTCAAGGCGTGTTTAAGCTCGTAAACCACTTCTGACACCAGTTGTCACGTGTTATGGGTTTAACGCGACAAATAAGTTCACGCCGTTGTCCCAATATAGCGAATTTATTTCCTTCGCTCACTTACACACTTTACAGGCATTTTCACTTGCAGTGTCACAATCACTGCTTACAATAACTCGGCGATGCTGGACTATCTCTTCTGGCGGTTATCCCAAGACTGACTTCCAAGATGGCTCGATCACGACTGGCTTCTTAGCTGGCTCATCCGAGACTTTCTTCTCCGAAGGCTTGATCACGACTAACTTCTAAGATGGCTATTCCGAGACTGAAGACTTCTCGTCGAAGCTGGGCTTTTATAACCTTGGCCGCTGTTAGGCAACGAACCCTTTGTTATAACCATGGAGACTCCTGTTAGAACTACAATGGAGCAATTGTTGTCTCCTCTGTAACGGTTTATTCCAGCGTTTCCATAGCAGTGACTCTTCTGGATTGCAAACACGTTACAGTATCTTCTCTCATCAATTCCTGCTGCACCGAGTAGTGTAAACTTCTGATTACCACTCTGCACGCACGTTGTTCTTGAGGTTGGTATGTGTGGAATTAAACTTTGTTCTCTTTATTATGTCTATTATTATTGTTTTTTGATAATCCACTTTGTTTATTATTACCTTTATTGCGTCGCTGTAGGTTACTTTTAAATCGTAGTTTAATTTGTTAATTACCTGTTCACTCGTAGCTGCATGTTTCTGATTCCTGGGACAAATTAGAGTGGTTGTGCTGGATCATTTCTTTTGTGTTTAGTATTGTCCTCGGTTTCTGCGTGTCGCAGAGCTTCGAAATTATTACTGATCGTTATCTAAGTTGGGTGGTTGTTTCTTGCGGCTTATTCTTTTTCATTGTTGGTACTTTTGTGGTTCTCGGGCCTCTTCTTTTCTTATCTCTTCCGCGCCGACTGCTTGCCAGGATAGCCGGTCGTCATGGTCGTCATTGTCACCACCGTCACCACGGTCACCACTGACAGTGCTTTCTTCTGCTTCTGAGAAGTCTGCTGTTTGGGTTGGTGCTCTGTTTGTTGTTGCTGCTTGGGATGTGTGGATAGTGTAATTGGGTTCGCAGGGGCGGCCCGCGTATAGGCACTCTGGAACTGCAGCACCCCCAATTTCCACTTGATATTATCGATAACATTTATACAATGAGTCCTTTTTTCTTTAATTCTTTCTTTATACTTGTACAATACAATATATAATCCTTAAGCTTAATGTCAGTAGCCAAAGCTTTGTATGCAACTGTGCGCTTCCCAGTTCCAGCGGCGAGGTGTTTGTTGACTGTTGTCTGTTGTGCTCATGCGCACATAGGAAGCTGCACGCGAGGCTGTGAGGGAGAGAGAGCACTGTCGTTACCGCAGTGCCGACCGGTTCCAACCCTGGCGTGCTGGTGGAAGGTATTTTTTTTTTTTTACTCTGCGTTGTGCTTAAAACCCGTGTACCATATTCTTGAATGTGAGTTAATTGTAGAATTACACGTAGATTGTTATCCTGCTTCCAGCTATTCTATTTGATTCATTTCTTTTCGGTTCTTTTATTTAACAGAAAACTTTAACCATGGCCTTGCATCCCCGAGAAATAAGTTCTGTGACTGTAAGTGAACTTCAACAGCTTAAGTTTTCACAACTGTCTCTCCATGAGAAAGTTGCAGTTAAGAAAAGAGGTCGTTTAACACATGATATTCTAATATCTCAGCCAGGAATAAGCAAGAACAAGAACAACTTTTTCGAAAATCTTAGAGAAGGATGGTAATAGAGAAATTGGTCTAAAATTTGATACGTTATTTTTATCATCTTTCTTGTATATAGGGGTAACAATCGAATATTATAGTTTTGGTTGCTGCGTATTATCTATACGTTAGTTGGTACCGAACAATGAAAGTTCACCAGCTTCTGCCTTCTCGTCGTTCTCGTCTGACCTTTCCAAGATATAAGTTTTGAGGTTCTGAGCGGTTCTGAGCGTTCTGAGCACCTTCTGAGTGTGTTCAGTTTGGTAGTCAGGTATCAGGTTTTGAGTGTGTTCAATTTGTTAGTCAGGTAACAGAAATCAGCGTTCATTGAGCGACCGAGCGGTTGTAGTCGAAGCAAATTGGGTTCGGTTGTTATCGATCGGGCTGCATTGCGGCTTTCGAGAGGGTAGTAGTAATATCGTGTTGGTAACAAAGATATGTCAGGAATGGTGAGTTTAACTAGTGATGCAAGCAATAAATTATGAAATATTATAGTTTAACAGTGCATGAAATAGGACAGAGTAAAGGTTGCTGGTAGCCAGTATTCGTTTTATAGGTAGTAGACCCCTTCACCCCGTTGTTAAATGGGTTTATGCAGCATGGAAGACTAGTTTCATTTAAATTGATCGTACATTGCGTCCGTTTACATCGTATTGAATTCATCATTAATTTTATTGATCATTATTGATCATATTATTGATCATTACAGCGTATGAAAGCATCCCGTTGCCCTACAGATGAGCTGTCACTCACAAACTGTGCTGTCGTCAATAAAGATGACTTTCCGGATGACGTGAAGTAAGTTGGAAGGAACAGATGTTGTGCTGCACGTATCTAACATTGGACTGACGTAAAAGTAATGCATGACTTCTCTTTTACAGACACATTGAAGTGAGTACAGGGGCGTCACAGCATTATGTCTTTACTGTTCGATTTCATCCTGATGTGCCACGAGGTACTGTGGGCTTCAGCTTACCGCAGAGAAAATGGGCAACACTTTCCCTCAGTCAAGATATTGAAGTAAAGCCTCACCACTTTGATCCAACTTCCAGTTCAGAATGTCTGTGTACAATTGTGTTGGAAGCAGATTTCTTGCAGAAGAAAACGTGAGTATATCACCTGAAGTTCAGTGTTTCACATACTTCATAGTTCAGAAGAGTTGAATAGCCTTTATTGATGTTTGTTGCGAATAATATGGGCTTATATCACACGACATCGCAAATTCATAGCCTTAATACTAGGCGTAATTTTGATCTTTATTGCCCTCAGACAAATTTGACAACTGTGGCTTCGGCCGTGTATGGATGTTGTGGAATGTGTAATAAATACAATACAATAATGTCATGGAACTAATCTCATGTTGGCATACATGAAATATTAACTGTGAGATCTGGTGGATGTATAATTAGCTGCTTAATTACCATGCATGTTTGACAGTTGACTGCAATGATTAAATCGTAAGTCGGTGAAGTTGCAGAAACAGATACATCACACCACTTAATGCTATCTTTATAACACACATGAATATTTATAGTGAAGGTAAAAGTTAATCTAACCAATCAGTGTCCAGAAAATAAAGTAAAATGAATCAAATGAGACTCTACTAGCCCAAATAAAAGGTGAGGCATTTTTTCAAACATTCACAACAGTTGCACACAGGGACACAATAGGAGTGACCATCCATAGAACAGATGGGTGCATAGACGAGGGCATACCCCAAGAATTGAACTTACAGATTTAAGCACAGCAGTTTTGTCAACAATTTTAGAGACACCTGAAGATGACCAGTGTTGGTTGAAGCATGTAATGTTCATACACCAGTGATGCAGAAGAGATAAACTTTAAAGGTTTTAAAAAGCAAGTTGCATGTGAGACAGCTAACTTACAGGAATAAATGAATGATGTGTAACAGGTTGCTATGATATAATGTTGGTTGGCTTGTTGGTTTATTCTGCAACCCTGAAGATGAATGTTCCTCCAAAAGTCTGTTGACATTCATCAGACTACACAGTGTTATATTCCAACAAACAGAAGCCTTCATTTCCTACTTTATTCATAATATAATTCTGACAGACAAAATTTCTCCTTAGCTATGCAGCTTTCTTTTTCTTTTTCTGTAGCATGTAGTCTTATAATGAAAATTCAAACAGCTGGTTTTGATATTTAATATGATAGTATCACTATCCCATGAGGTATAAGAATGCTGCAAGGAAAAGTACAAAATAACACTTGAAGGCTCAGTGACTGCCAAGTCCTTATAACAAAGTCGTTCTGGTGAAGCTGATAATTGTTCATTAAGTTAAGAATTACACTTTTATGGACCCTCATGGCCCATTACCTTGATCTCAAGAGCCTGCCACGAGACATTCTGAATCAGATGAATTCAGTCCACCTCTTCACACTCAGTTTCCTTAAAATCCTCCCTGTCTATCTCTTCACACTCAGTTTCCTTAAAATCCTCCCTGTCTATGAATTAGGATTCATTCTCTTACTAAATTTTGTATGCATTCCACCATGCTATGTAGTATAACCAAGTTATTCTCCTCAATTTGATTACCCAACAAAATGTAGAAATAAAGTTCCATGCATTCTCAGCCTTGGCACTGGATAGTAGTGACAGGTTAGCTTTACCCAAGGAAGAACACATTTGCCGGGAACATCAAGATATAGAATCTGTCATTGGACGCTCACTTATTAAGTTTAACTTTGCAGTGTTTTCATTTAAACTTACAATTTGAAGTTCTGACAGGAAAACCATTTGTGCTACTTAATTTCATTATAATGTTCTCTAAGCTTGCATTTGTTATAACACAGTGTGTCTAATTCTGAAGGCTAAAGTTCTTAACTCTGTTGTCTTCCAGAAGATTTCACTGAACGTTTGTATGAACACTCCTCAGTTAGGTTCTCACTTTACACATGCTGGTACTGTAAAATGTAGCAGTGACATATTTTGTATGTTAATGTAGCTGGTTGAGGGGCTATGCTACAAGCCGGAAGGTTGCGGGTTCAAGTGACCTAATCCTTCACTCAGCCTCTAATAGAGATGAGTACCAGGAATTAATTAAATAATTTTCCTGAGGAGTAAAGTGCAGCCGGCGCGTAAGGCTGACAACCTTACCGCCATCTTTGAGCCAATTGTTTAGATAATGTGGGACCCTCAACGTCTCACAACCCTATGGGCCTTCATGGCCTGGTACAGGGACAGCTTTACTTTTACTTTTACTTTTAATCTATATACATTTATATAATTGCTGGACCCACCAGACATAGTAAAAGGTAAAAAAACGGTAAAGTTGGCCCTGTGCTTGACTAATTAAGCGCTATGCCATGAAGGCGTACGGGGAAGTGGATGTATAGATCTGCATTTTCTTGACCTCAGAACTAGCTGGAGGTGAGTCAACAGACCTAGTTCACAAGCAAATTTCAGAAAACATCATTTATGCTGTGGATGCTCATTGTAGTTTTGTGTCTGAGATATTTGAATTTCAAAACAGTGTAATGTCTTTTCTTTGAATTTTGTATCTAATTACATGTGTTCTGCATTTTATAGCACTACCTTAGAGCCTTACGATACAGATCAGATGGCAAAAGAATTCCTCCTACAGTTCTCAGGTCAGGCTTTTACAGTTGGCCAGCAGCTGGCATTCAGCTTCCTTGACAAGAAGTTGCTGGGTTTGGTTGTTAAGAGCCTCGAAGGTAAGTATAACTGTGGATGTGTCTGCATTATCCCAATGTACTGTCATTTAAAAGCACGAAATGTACACCCTCACTACCTACATGTTTGATCTGCTCTCCTTTGACATATCATAAAGAACTCTTTTGTTTCCAGTTTGTTTCTTCCCCCGCTTTATGTCCAAAATTTCCTACTCTTTGACCAACCTGAATACAGTGCTCATATTGGTATCAGTTCCTAATGATATGTCTTAAAGTTGAATTAAAATATATTCTTTTAAGAAATAATTTGTGTGATAACTTATTTTCAGCTGCTGATCTGAATGCCATCAAAGCTGGTCAAGATGCAAAACCGAAGAAAACTAAAATGGGACGTTGCCTGGGAGATACCATAGTGCAATTTGAAAAAGCTGAAAACTCGTCATTAAATCTTGTGGGGAAATCAAAAGGGTAAGGCTTTCTTCCAGAATTATTCCACATATTCCATTATGTACTTAATACAGTTATGCATCATCGTTGTTGTCGTCCACCACCACCACTGCCACCACCACTGTTGCCACATTTATAAATTGTAACATGATAGAGTGACTATAGATGGGTTTTGGATTGGTAATTGGGTTTATTGGACTCTTTAATACAGTGCATGACTACACTGTACAGTCCGCTGTTACACACTAATGCCCACTAGTGTCTTCACTAAATGTTGCTCGGTAGCGGCTTGCTGGGACACTGGCAGATTAATAAATCCTTGCCACCATGTTTCTTTCTAATATTTGCGAAAGTAATCACCAGTAAAATAAAGTAATTCTTTCTCTCTCACTTAACCTTTCAATTATCCTCACCACACCAGTTTCTTAAAGCATTGTTATTTCCAGATCTTTTCATCCTGTCGGATTTACTATAACGTGACCATACATTGCATCAATCTACATACTTAGATGTCTGGTGCTACTAGTTCTTGCTATAAATGTGTTTTCAGAAAAGTATCTCGACAGTCCGTTATCAATCCAGACTGGGACTTTCAGAAAATGGGAATTGGTGGTTTGGACAACGAATTCAGTGCAATCTTTAGGCGAGCCTTTGCGTCACGTGTTTTCCCTCCTGAAGTTGTTGAGCAGTTAGGTATGTACAATGAAATGTATTATTAAAATCTTGTTTTTCACTTATCAAATGCCATTCAATTTACCGATTGTATGAAATATTAGCTATTTAGAAGGGGCAATGCCAAGCTTGAATGAATGATGTGCCTTGATATCCAAACTGCTCCGCTTTTGAATATTTGATTTTGAAAAATAGAGTAGTCCAAATATTTAAATTCTGAAGTAAAGGAGTGAAAACTAGGTCCAATATCTTTACATTTATATATTATCATGGTATTTATTTCACAAAAAGTGTTTCTGTTAAATCAATTAAAAACTTAAGAAGAAAGAGAAAAATTGCTTCAAATTATGGTTGCCAGCATTTAGTAGCTAAATTTGCTGCATTATATTAGCTGACCAGTGTAATGGCCGTGATGCAGTCTCAAATTAGATAATTTTGATGGTTCCAGAACTGGCCAAGGTAACCTCAACCACACACCAGAAATTCATGTATACTGTAGAGGTGGATATACTCATAAATTCAGGAGAGTTACGTACATATTTTAGATAGTTGTAAGTATGGCATACTTATTAGTAGAAGGAATATAACTAACAGCTTGTTACTGGACTAGTGATGATTTTTATGATACAGTAAATTTTATAACATACTGGAGCATAAAGAGGTTGTCAAAAATATTGTGACGTGTCGCGCAAGCTGGACGCCCCCCCCAGAGCTGACGTGCCGAGCAGAGCCGAAGTTAGCCGAGTACCAGCATTCTGGTAGCTATGCAACGCGAGTCAACAGCGGTGATGTCACCAAGGGATACCGCGGTTGCTAGGCACCAGTAAACAACTCTGGACAGCGTTGCTAGCAACATGGCACCACACAATGATGGTGCCTGTTACGTGGCTGTTTTCTGCGTTGTCCGGAATGAGGCTAGATACGGAGCAGCGAAGACTATTCACAGTTAGTTCCGAGAGATTTCCGAGTTAGTTCTCAAGGCAGCTACCTACGAGTTAGTTCCGAGAGAGTTCCGAGCTACCTACGAGACAGTGTGTTATCAACAGTTTTCAAGGCAGCAGCCTGCGAGTCGAGTTGAAGTATAGCAGCCATCGCGGAAAGAAGTACCAGACACGTGTGTAACTGAGAACTAATTGGGAGTGTGTAACAGAGTGACATTTGTATGGCTCCCGCGTTATTAATACGTGAAGACTCTTGAAGATAGTGTGAAGAGATTTGGTTGTAGGGTTTGTAAAGTGTGAAACCCGCAACTGTGTTATAATTAATTGTAGCCGTTACTTGTAGGTTGTTAAATAAACCAATTAACTCTCTACGGCGTCTTCAGTAACGAAACACGAATATAACTAACAGCTTGTTACTGGACTAGTGATGATTTTTATGATACAATAAATTTTATAACATACTGGAGCATAAAGAGGTTGTCGAAAATATGATACACACCTTACCATAATTGTTGGACATACTAGTCAAGTCTCTTTGGGCATTTTGCCTTCTTTTGTAAAAAATGTGAAGCTCATTTCATGAGAAATTTAATCACATTGATTTTCAGTTTTCACTAAATCCATGCCATTACTGCTGGAAGCTGTTGCATCATACTGACCGCAGTTGAGCCACTGAGCTAGTTTGCTCAGCAAGTCACTGCATGTAAGTTCAGGGGTTCTTATGACAGTGAACTTCTAATAGTCTACCTTGGGGGTACCCTGAAACAGTAAACTTCTGCCAGGCTACAGTGTTACCTCCCAGAAGACATTATTGTTTAAGTCACTACATGTCATAGCATTCATGCACTTAACCAAACAAAATGATGGAGAGGTAACACTCTGTAGTTATATTCAGGAGGTTCTCATCTCAGATCGCATCTATCCTGACTGAGGACTTTTCTCAGTCCCTCCAGGCAAATATTGGGATAGTACCACTATTATGCCATAACCACTTCCTTCCAAATTGTCCTTCCCCATTCATCTGTCATGATACTGAAAAAGCATTATTAAATAGCCCATGGAATATCATGCTTCTTTTTTAATTCCCTTAGTAGGGGGTGGAGTCCACTTGGCACAGCAGCCACTGATTGGCCTACTGTAGCCTGCCCTGGGTGATTATGATGATGGAGAATTTGGTGGAATGAAGATTGGCAGGGGAAACCAAAGTACTCAGAGAAAACTCACCCCAGCGCCACTTTGTCCACCACAAATCCCACTTGACCGGACCCCGGGATCGAACCTGGGCCGCTATGGTGGGAAGCCAGTGACTAACCACTTGAGCTATGGCACGGCCATGGAAAGCCATGTTTGTTTTGTATCACTTTTATAGTACAAATACCTTATGAATGTCTGTCTTATGTGTTATTATTATTACATTGAGCTTCTAATTTTGTACTTGGTTTTAGGTTGCAAGCATGTGAAAGGAATCCTGTTATATGGGCCACCGGGGACGGGGAAGACTCTAATGGCTCATCAGATTGGAACCATGTTGAATGCTCGTGAACCAAAAATAGTTAATGGCCCACAGATTTTGGACAAGTATGTTGGTGAATCTGAGGCTAATATTCGTCACCTATTTGCAGAGGCAGAAGAAGAGGAAAAAAGGGTGAACTCCATTGTCACTTTTTATATTTTTAACATGATTTTATATAACTCTGTGGCATGAATTTCATGATATGGACAGGATGTAATAATGTTGCCTAGATAATATGGTAGGATACCATGAATTTTCTGAGACATTAAGCTCATATTACTGTGGACTTCACCTGATCATAAAAATTTCTTTATAAAACAGCATTTTGCTTTGATAAAAATGAGTGGAATTGTGTAACACAGCTTGCATTCTCTCTCTGCTTTGAGACTGTGGCTGGGGTGAGACAGAGTCCCGTGGTAGTGTTGCTAGCCACAAATGAGTCTACTGTGGTTAAAGTTAATTCATTAATTGGTTCATTAAAATTAATTATTTTCTAAGTTAAAATATTTCAGTATTTTCCATTTTCTGTAATCTACTCATTAAGAGACATTTGTCTGAGAACATCACTCGCACGTTTTCATGTGCTACTCTCCTCCTGTGGGGTGAGTGTCTTGCATGTTATTTTGTGTAGCTTGTGGCTGTCGATGTGATGGTGTTATCATGTTTTCATGTGCCCCTCTGGTATGTATGTCTGTATGCTGTTGGACTAGTTGAGTCTGTGTCACTTGTTATTAGTAACACATCATCACTGGGATATATTTAGATGTGCTTAGAAATTATGATTCATAAATACAGTTGAACCTGTATTAAAATAATCCTCAGTATAAGGTTTTCCCTAATTTAACATTAAATTTCAATGATCCCAAGACAATAAATTCAGTGCTAAATTATCTCCATTTCAGTTTTTCTTCAGCTCAGTGTTTAAATTCACTGGTCCCCAGAGAAACTATAAATAGCCATTTTACCATACATAATGTATATGTTTGATTAAAAGGAAAGCATTATGGAATCAGAAGTTGAAATTAGTATGATGCAATATGATATTTTAGTTTATACTGTTCTTTTTATTTTCAGCTGGGCCCCAACAGTGGCCTTCATATCATTATATTTGATGAAATTGATGCAATATGTAAATCACGAGGCTCAGTGGCTGGTAATACAGGAGTACATGACACAGTTGTAAATCAACTGCTTGCCAAAATAGATGGTGTTGAACAACTCAACAACATTCTAGTCATTGGAATGACTAACCGTAGAGACATGATTGATGAAGCCTTGCTTCGACCAGGAAGATTAGAGGTAAAACTTTATAACTTCCTGCATAAACGGATAGTTTCATGACACTCAGAGGGAATGTTTCAGATTTGAATGCTTTTAATATTATGTATCTGAATTTGCATTAATTGGTGTTTGACAGGTACAAATGGAAATTGGATTACCAAATGAAAATGGACGATTCCAGATTCTTACTATACATACAAGTAGGATGAAGGAATATAAGAAAATCAGTCCAGATGTTGACATCAAGGTAAGACATAATTAATTTGTGTCCCTAGTCTGGGAGTTCCACAGATTGTTAAATATAGATTCTGATGACCACGCATATGATCATTGGACCCATTGACAGAAGTTAAATAAAATTATTTTATTAGGTAAGCAGGTGGGAAATTAAAGGGGTAGTGTATAAAATTGTAAGATTCCACATTTTCTATGAATTGTGCTTGTCCATAATCTTAGCATTTCTTTATTGTAAAAATGTTCCACTTTATTACAGCAATTTATTTTCAAAAAGATTGTCTAGTGTCCTGTTGTATTGAAAACTTTCTTTAAAAAGGAACCTAATCTGATGAGACCATGTTTCAGACTAGTAGTTCCTGAAACTTCTGGTATCTTTGAGAATAAACCTAGCCCATAAAGATAATGTGTAAAGTACTGTACGTTCACTGGCTATCATATGTTCGTATCTTTGTGGATCTGTTGCTCTGCAAACACTTCTTCCATTCCTGTTACCCAGATTTCATTAGTAGTTTCAATACATTCTTTGTTCTACCATTGTGAAGGTCTGTGTTCGACATTATAAAGTTGTTTTGCAGTTCTGGGGAGAGAGATGTGAACATTGCTGTGTAGATTTTGGAGAATACTGAATGAAGAAACTGACTTACAAAACTGTCATTAGTATGAAATTTTGTTAGGAATTGGCAGTACTAACGAAGAACTTCAGTGGAGCCGAGTTGGAAGGTTTGGTTCGTGCTGCGCAGTCCACAGCAATGAACCGTCTCATTAAAGCTGCCAACAAAGTGGAAGTTGATCCTGAAGCTATGGAAAAGTTGTTGGTGGATCGTTCAGATTTTGTTCATGCTCTTCAATATGATATTAAACCTGTAAGTTGAAATTTATTGCATTTCAAAACAAAAGTTTGGAGCAAAATTTGTAAAGCTTTCTTTCATTTTATATGGAGTTCTTTAAATCTTGTGTTGTTAGTATTTGCATTTAGTTCAGTCTGTAAACCAGCAATGAAATACAGTTTTGCTTGTTGGTTAGAGTGCTTCGCTCATGTCTAGATGCTCATAGAATTGAATTCAAGTCAATAAGTTTTATAATGCTTGCAGTTTTAAATATATCATAGATTATAATTGTTGTTATTGTTAGTAATGGCTTTGTCTTCAGGGGAGAACTTGCTACATAGATACACAGTGAAGCTTCATTCAGTTTATTGTGTGTAACCTCAGAGTTTCATTCTGTGACCATACAGTATCTGTAATTGTTGAATTATGAATATATTTCATATGTGGGGATGTAGGAATGTTTATGCAGTCTCGTCATACAAAATTTCTTTTTTGTAGCTCCAGTTGTTCATTAGTTAATGCTGTAAACTGAAAGCTAAATGAAATGTTTTGCATGATCATAATGATGATGTCTCACATTCTAGAAAAAGATTACAGTAAAAATTGCTTTCGAAAAATCTGTTACCATTCATCATTGTGTGACACTCTCATGTCACTTGTTCAAGCACTCACTTTCATGTAAATATTGATTGTAGGAAATTATAAGCATGGCCTCAAGTTGCATGACATTTGTACAAAATTTTATGAAAACTGATTACTCAGTTCAAAAGTTTAAGAACACATGCAGATAGCAAGATGATGTCATAAGGCTAATTTGTCATTCTTAAGGAATGTGTGGGCTAAAAATTTATTTGAAAGAATATTCCATGTCCTTGATGATTTCATCTAAGATATAGGAATGTGTAAAAGAAGTCATGTTTACCAGAATGGGGAAAAAAATGCAGAGCAATTAATATAAAATTTAATATTAATATTTTCATATGGTGATAAATACTTTTCTTTTTAGGCCTTTGGAACAAGTGCTGAGGTACTGGATCATTTCCTTACTCGTGGTATCATTAACTGGGGTACCCCTGTAACCAGTATCTTACAGGATGGAATGTTGTTCATACAGCAGGCTAGCTCTATGGATACATCAGGTTTGGTTTCTGTTCTGCTTGAAGGCCCACCAAATTCTGGAAAGACAGCTCTTGCTGCACAACTTGCAAAGAACTCTGACTTTCCTTTTGTGAAAGTTTGCTCGCCAGAAGAAATGGTTGGCTTCACTGAAAGTGCCAAATGTTTACACATTAGAAAGGTAAACACATTTTTTAATAAAATAAATTTATGTTGAATTTTAAATTTTAATTAATAAGAATACATATAAATATTGTACTTCATTTTTGTATGTCAGGCATGAGTTTCTGGGCTAATTCCCAATACATGTTCTCTCTCAGTATTTCAACATTACCTGCTGTTTCTAAGTTGTGTGACTTATTTTTACTTTCTATAACAGATATTAACTAGGTTAAACATCATTGGACTGTGTTAGGAATCTTTTTGTTATTAAAACTTATTATCAGTATTGATATTGAAATTTCCATTAAGATCAGTTTACTGCCATAAGCAAGTTGAATGTATAAATATCAGAGAACTTACAACAGATTTTGTTTCTCAGCAGAATATTTAACATTTCCATTGTTGGTAACAATGTAAAAAATATTAAATTCTTCGGTAATAGTAAATTCCTTCTTCACTCAGTGTGTAACCATATGGTACTTCTTCCATAGAAATGGTGTGACTACATTAAAGATCTGTGTCTGACCACCAGATCATCCAGTTAACTCATTGTGGGACTGCTCAGTAAACTGGCAGGCTAACAATTTAACTTGAATAAAGCATATCATCTTCAGCTCATGTTTGATTTATCCCCCTTGTCATATAGTGTTTCGTAAATTTTTGTTTTGGCAGTCGTTCTGTAATGTTTTCCTCCACATTTCCTGACACTTTTTCTGTTATTTCTTAATGGCAGTAAGTATTCTCTTCATGTTAAATACAAATTAAATTCATAAAAATAATTTTGCCCACAGTTGTTTCAGTACTTTGCTCAACTCTGTTTTGTTTTTAGGTGTTTGATGATGCCTATCGCTCACAGTTAAGCTGTATATTGGTGGATAACATTGAACGTCTCCTTGATTATGGTCCAATTGGACCACGTTATTCTAACCTTACACTACAGGCACTCCTCGTCCTTTTGAAAAAGGAACCTCCAAGAGGACGAAAACTTTTGATTCTCTGTACAAGCAGCAGGAGGTAAGGTGTACTGCTGAGCATATGAATTTCAGTATGTAGCATTCATAAACTAGTGAAGGTTGCTGTTGATTCTGGAAAGGTTTCTGCCAAGGGTCTGTTTTTTATTATAAACTTTTTATGTTTGTGTTGTCATCTTAGGTATATTTAAATTATACAGTGTTCTGGATGCTGGATCTGCAAAGGATCCTACTCAGTTGGGACTGTTAAAGACAGAGAAAGTCTCAATAATCAAGTTCTTAAATTAATATTGGTAGAAATTGTAGTGTACTGTAAATACACATGGTAAAGTGCTGTTTTATAGAGAATTCTGTGGCTTTTACTGCATCACATTTTGGTATTAAGCCACTATAGAGATGATTTTTGGCAGGCTGAGAATGTATGGCTTATATGAAGAAAATTTATATGAAAATTAGTTTGATTTGACGCATCCCATATTACAATCTGTATCCATTAGTAATTACACTACATAGTCAGATAACATGTTTATTCTGACTTTAGTTTTCTCTGTGACATATTTCTGTTCTCTGACCATTGGGTCCATGTTTGTGCTGTTAGCTAAGACAGACTTTGTAGTTGATTAAAATATTAAGATAATTGCCAATGCCTATTTTATCTTATCTCTAAATAATTAAAATGCAAGAATATAATTGCACTATTGAAAATAAAAAAGATGTTCGGGTAAATGATATTATTGTCATATTCACAGATGTTTCCTTAAAAAAATAATGGTGACTGTGTTATTTTATTGGTAACAGCTATGGCAGGAACAGGATGTCGAGAAGGCTACATCTGCAACTGAAACATATCATGGAGGGACTGAATTTTATCACATTAAATGTCTGATACTGAAATCATAGTCGAAGGTTGTGAATTGGAGAATCAAATGAAATTGATAAACAGTCTTGTAACTTAAATAAATTGAAGATACTTATGTAAGGTAGCTTTGTTGGACATTTCACTTTCTTCTGGTTAATTCTCATCATATATCATTCTGTTTAAAATGAATTATCTCACAGTATAATGAATACGTCTTTCAGTTTTGGATAGAATTTTTTTTTAAATTACTGTGTATATGGAAGGTGTGTCAGACTTACAGAAACTTTGACATCCCTGTAAACTAATTGAATGAAGTTGTTGTGCTGAGTTGTGGTTAGAGTGTGTACAGTGTTTGGTTTATGGCAGCATGGTTATACTAATTTCTTTTCCTATTTCTATGCTTAGGCAAGTATTAGAAGATATGGAAATGCTCTCAGCATTCACAGCTGTTCTTCACGTTCCAAATATTTCAGAGCCAGAACATTTATTGGCTGTTCTTGAAGAGTCAGATGTTTTCTCTAAGAAGGATTTATCATCAATATCTCGCAAGATACATGGTCACAGGTATATAATACACAGCTGAAATGTACATTTAATCCCAATACATACTCAGATTTAGGTTTATGCAGAATAAAGGTATGCATTTATTTGGAACTTATGGAACTAATTTGTTCAGGGTGTTCATTGGCATGAAGAAACTGCTGGCTTTGACTGACATGGCTCGCCAGATAGAGGCTCACAATCGAGTTGTGAAATTCCTTACTAAACTTGAAGAGGAAGGAGGAATAGACACGGGTACATCTATACAATAAAATCACATTTTGTGGATGAGGCAAGTGTCACATTAGAACGTTTTTGTGTGAAGTTTTCTTCTCAATATCCATCATGAGGGAGATGGAATTGCTAGCAATATCATCCTTTATTTCAGAATTGGAATCATACAGGCTATAAGTATTACTTAATTATTCCAGTTATGTACCTGAAAAGAGAATAATTTATAATTCATTGAACTACATAAATGTGTTTTTGTTTATTTATTGTTCTTAAATCCTGTTGTATTATAGTCAAGTTACTCTTAGAAATCCTGACTAGTAGTTTTGAAGTTGAAGAAATTCCATTCATTAGATTTTGATGTGTAATTTCCTGCTTCCCTTCTGTTGAGGGATATATTTTAAGTAACACCAGTATAAAACTTTGAATTTGTTTGGTTTGATTGTAAGCTAAGATAACATACAGATACTGCAAGAGCACATAATCAGTCTTAATATTTTTGGTGTATTGGCAAATTATATTCCATGAATAGTTTGTTTCCTTACAGATGTATCCTAGAATAGAAACAGTGTTTTGTGATAATTGTCCCTATTTAGACCTTTAGACTTGAAATACATAAATTCTACACCACTTTTGCTGTGTCATTACCGAGATAAATATGTTAATAATGTAGAATTTGTGATGGGGATACTGTGGAGAATATTCGTTGTTGAAATTAATTTGCCAAATTCTGCAGTATGCAAATGTGAGAACCATAAATGTAAGTTCAAGTTTTTCATTATGTGGAAATTGTTATGCAATATCTGGAGCTTTTATCACTGTAACTGTTAGAAAAAGAGTGCACTGTTGTACTTCATGTAACCACCATCATATATAGATAGTGTTATAACTGTTGAAGATTATATGTTGGATGATATTACATTCCTCAATTTGTGGCTGACCTAAACTCTAACAGTCTTTATAAATTATAAATTTCATCTTAAGAGCTAAGATATGTTTTAAGTTGAATAAATCTTTTAACTTCAGTTTGACCTTCATCTCCTTTTTACATATAATTACTATATATATACTGGCATGGTTGCATTGGAGGAGTAAAGTAATAGTAAAGTAAAGCTATTCTTGTAACAGGCTGTGAAGGGCCATATGGTTGTGAGACGTTGAGGGTCCCACATTATCTAGACAATCGGCTAAAAGATGGCGGTAAGGTTGTCAGCCTTATGCGCCAGCCACGCTTTACTCCCCGGGAAAATTATTTAATTAATTCCTGGTACTCCAGGAGTCAACCACAGGGCCATAGTGCAGACTGAAGGATTAGGACAATTGAAAAAAATCCAATGACCTCATCGGGACTTGAACCTGCGACCTTCTGGATTGTAGCTTAGTGCCTCAACCAACTATGCTACCGCATGCCCCTGCATTGGAGAAGTGCAAGAAGATTTGAAATAATCTGTACAGTGGTCAGGCAAAGAATGGATGCAGGAGGTGGCAGTTTTAGTATGCCTCCTGCTTGCCCCTTAACTCTGTGGTGGACTCCTCCCCTCTGTAAACATTAATAACAAAGCAAGAATATAAGTCACAGATCTTAGGAATGGGAGAAGGCACCCTGAGGTAATTTTCCTCCTAGCCAGACAGGTAGGAGAGATTCTGTTTTAATTCTTTCTGTGACCATACTATACTTAAGACAGTGCCAACGCTAGCCATTGTTTTGTCACTTCCAGCTTGTTCAGCATTAAGAATATCACTAAACATGGAAGAAACATACAATGGCATTTGTTCTTAAGCTGTTTTCTATGTTGACTCAGTTTTTATCATCAAAACATCCTGATAGAGGGTATCACAGTCGTATTGACTGGTCTATGGCTTGGATGGCCATAGAATCAGAAATTGATTCCCTTTAGGGACAGAGATGTTTCCCTTCTGCACAGCATCCTGACTGGCTCTATGGTGCATCAAGCCCCTTTTCCAGTGGCTTGGTGTAAAGCACTTGGGGTCTGAAGCCGACCACTAACCTGTATCTGATGCCAACATTAAGAATGTGTGGAGCTATACTTTCACTCCCCCCATATGTTGTTTTCTTGGTGTGATGCTTAACTGTGCACAAAGACATCTTACATTCTAGTATTTACACAGTGGTTATTGTTGAAACAGTTTAATTGAAGTGTATGTAACAATATGTTTTCCTAAGTCTGGTTTATATTTCATGATTTTGTGAAACAATTTAAATTGCATGCTAGTGCCTGTTATTTAGGTACTGGAATTAAGTTGCGCATGTCAAGAAAACAACTGGATTAACAATTTAAATTGCATGTTTGTGCAGAGTACTTTGGTTCCGGAATTGAGATGTACAGGCCAAGGTAACAAATAATTGTTTTCACAGCTGAAATTGCATGCCAGTGATAGTTATTTTGGTACTGAAACCAAGTTGAATTGGTCAAGATAAATTATTGGATTCCTAGTTGAAAATGCATGCAAGCACAAGTTGTTTGGCTTCATCTGTGGTATTTATTTATTTATGCTTTACTTAATGATGCTTTTGATTACTAGGATTATGTAGAATCAAGTGATATGACATTCTATATCCATCTTTGGATCTCTTGATCTTACAATATATACAAATACGAATAGGTTGCTTGATGAATAATGAATTGAAGGGATAGGGAAGGAAGTGATTGTGGTCTAATTTGAAATGTTATCCCAGCATTTGTTGGACGAAAACCATGAAAAATCTTAGAATAGTTGGTCTCTGGATCTAGTTTGAATCTACGATCTCCTGAACATGAAAGTGGAGCTCATTTCTTTGTGGCATGTACTACTGCTAAGGATATTTCAGATAAGATGTAATACAGTGAGGAACTATACTTGGAGGTGATAACCTTATCTTCAAAATGGTGGTATGACTGGTTTCTTAGTATACTTAATAACACCTTTTCAAATGCATAGATTAAATAGTATCAAATTTGTGGCTGTGAATAAGTAGTTATTTAATATGAGGAAAGAGGCAAAAACCACAAATGATGGTCAGAATAACCAGCTTCTGGTCCAGTGAACTTAGGACCTCCCAGTAAGAAGCAGAATTTCATAATGAGACACTCATTTTTTAATGAAAACATTCTGGAAGTGGATAGGTTATATATTGAACAAATAGCAGTAAATTTGTAAGATTGAGGCTTTCACGGCAGTGACTATGAAGAAAGCAGTCTTCTGGGATTTGGCACCGTGTATGTGTGTATGTGGTGTTAACCGACGATTTGGAGGAACGTATTGCCTCCATCTTCAGGGTAGAAGGAAAAATATAAGAAATCCTGAAGATGGAGGCGATACGCTCCTCCGAAACGTAGGTTAACACCACATATACACAGTGCCAAATCCCAGAAGACTGCTTTCTTCAGCGGTAAATTTGTATGAAATTTAAGGTTCACATGGACTGGTCTCCTGAAATATAACACACTAATCTGGTAGACGATTAACAGTGTTTTTGAGGAACCTGCAGCCTCCATCTTCAGGTCACTTCTTCCATGAAGATGGAAGCAGCAGATTACTGCGAAATGTTGGTAACCATGCATTAGACAACATGATGCTACGCCTCAGGCAATTCTTCTTATAATGGTGAACTTTATTATCGACTGAACAGCCGGTATTGGATATGAGACCGATGCTAGATGGAAGCAAATGTTCGTGGTTACATATCAAGCAGTGAATTGTTCACCTGTGAGTAGTAGTCTGTAGACGCGTATAAATCTACGAATGTAGCAGACCAGTAGATCGCACCTTGGGTGTCGGAAGGTTTGAAAGAGGGGTGTAAAAGTGTGCGTGGTATAAAGAAGAAAATTAAGTGAAAGCATTTAAGGTGTACCACAGTGCCAGTAATGAGTGAAATCAAGAATCGCGATAGGATATTGGAAGCGATTGATCAGCTGCGTCGTCGAAAAGCACGTCCAGACGCTGAAAGAATATGTAACTTTCTGTTGCGGCGTTTTGGCGTTGATAGTCAAGATACTATAGCGGACTTGGAACGCCTTGTTGAAGAAGATATTGTAATTAAAGTCGAGTATAAAGGAAATATAAGTTACAGGAACGCAGCCAAGTGGTCTAGGTTTGCAATGTATAATAAAAACAAGGAAGAAGGATTTACTGGAAGTATTTATGGATCATTAAATTCTGAAGGAACCAGTAGCTTGCTGAGCAGTGCGGTCGCAGAATTGATAATACATGAACCAGATTATCTGGATTTTGGTGTACCTGGTACCGAGCTGGAAAAGTATATGCAAGAAAAAGATAGCGTTCGCTTTACGAAAAAGTATTTGGATGTTATTTTGCAGCGTGAACTTAATTCTGGCAACATAGTAAAACTCGAAAACGGAAATTACTCCTTGGCCGATCACCCTGTGCCGTCTAATCCAAACGTAATTAACAATGCTGATAACAATGAAACAGTTAAAATGCTGAAAATAGATTCGCCTAATTCGTCTCAGGTTTCGGAAGAGGAACAGAATCAAACGAGCGAATTGAATGCCAACGTAAATGTAACATCTCCGAAAGCAGAAGATGTCAACAATAAGAATGACGACAATATGCATGACGGAAAGGAAGAAACTTTGGAGACAAATGTGGCAGCATCCGTTTCCACAGAAGGATATCGAGATGGAGCCAAACGTAAGGTAGTATAGGTAGCTTGAAGGCCAAATTAAAGGGGGCCTGGCGAGGCGAAAGCTTTTAGAAGCCGTGCGGTAATCAGTTATTTGGCAATTTGTGCGCATTGACGTATGTTTGTTGTGGTTTCAGCGTTCAAAGAAGGTTTTCTTTGATCCATCGGATATTCATATTCCAACACGTAAACGTGGACGACCTGTGGGTGCCACAAGTAAGAATAAAGATAAAGATGCAGGCAAGAGCAATATCGCTATTACCAAAGCGGAAACAGATAAAGGCTTTTGTTACCTATGCATGAATCAAGGTCAAGATCGCCGCGGCCAGTTTGAAAAACTAATTTCGTGCAAAGATTGCACCAATAAAGGTAATAGACATACTTGTAATATTTAAACATTAGGCTTTGTATGTGGTTTATATATATATATGTCTAATTGTGAGATTTTCTCCCCCCCCCCCCCNCGGTCCATTCCTATGATTTAACAGTTCATCCAAGCTGCATAGATTCGGGTAAGGAAGGAGCCAGTTCATCCCACTGGCAGTGTGTTCAGTGTAAAACCTGTGCCGTCTGCATTGAGACCATAGACAAGGTACTGCATCACTGCTTAATTGAGATTGAAAAATGTTTGAAAGTGTGATCACTAACTCAAGAATGAGTTAACTTTATTTACATTGTTTGATTTGAGGTTCTCACACCACGGTGACTGTGAAGAATACCATCTTGGATTTGATGCCATGTAGAACAGTTAAAGTTCACGAGTGTTTTGGAGGAACAGAACTGCCTCCATCTTCACAGCTGAAGAGTAAGCCAAACAACCAACAAGCTGAATTCTGCTTGCTTCTTGCTAGTTGCTTTCTTGGCTTACCCTTCACCCTTGAAGATGTAAGCAGTGTGTTCCACCAAAGCAATAGTGAACTGCATAATGCCATGTCCCTGAAGATACTACTCATATTTATTTATTTATTTCATTTCTATAGATCATTGTTACATGATATAGGACAAGTCAGTAAGAACCTAAAATCTAACAAGGTAATTTCCTCTGATACTAAAATAAATCTACAAGACTTTCACTTCCTAGGGTCCACTGATGGTGTGTTGTTGCTGCAGTGAAAGTTACCATCCATCCTGCCATGATCCCAAACTTCCTGATGAGACAAGGAGCAGTGAATTTGTGTGCTCACGATGTATACCTCCAGCAACAAGGTCATATTATGGGATGGGTAAGTAATGGCAGAAACTGGAAGATTATTTTAGTTTGTTCAGTCTGTGCATAAACTAATAAAATAAAATTATATTACTCACTCAGTGATTTTCATTGCTTCCTCAGTTTTGAACAATTGGCCGAGACTTGGACCAGTGTTGATAGAATGACCCAGTTAATAACCTCCTGCAGTATGACAGATGTTTAGTGGACATCCTGCATAATTAGAATAACCGGTTTGCTAACCCAGGGTAATTTATAATTGTTTTGTTTGACAGTGTCTGCTATGGTGAAAGTGTGAGTTAGGAAAGAAACTGCTTCTCATTCTGTTCCAGCTCAGTTCTGAAGGTTATGACCTAATCTCATAAAGTGTAATAAGTTGTCATCCTTGCAGTTATTTTATAATCAGTAATTACCAGTTATGGACACTATACTACAAGCTGGAAGATTGCAGGTTCGGATCCCAATGAGGTGGATTTTTTCAGTTGACCTGAATGGCCCTGGGGTTTATCAGAAATGAGTAGCAGGAATCTTCCTGGGGTTAAACGGTGGCCGGCACATAAGACTGACAACCTTACTGCCATCTGTGTGCCGATTGTCAAGAGAAAATGTGGGAGCCTCGACGTCTCACAACCCTATGGGCCTTCACAGCCTGTTACAGGGATGGCTATACCTTATTACCATATATGGAGGTCACTGCTTTGAAGCGATGCATATGGACCACATTGTTTTTAAAATATTTTCTAAAGTAGTCTTATGCAAACTCCATGCTGTCTGTATGTCTGTGAATGCCCCTCCATGGCACCTGAGCCAATCTCAACAGCATACTTTAATAAATCCTTCTCATGAGCCAGTGTATCTGAATGCTTTTCCCTGGATATCGTTGCTAGGCAATAGCTCGGTAGCCATGTTCCCCTGGCAACAAATACACGCAACAATAGAAGAATTGTTGGAGGCATCATTTTCTGTATGGTCCATGTTTTATCAAAGGAGAGTCTGTGTATCCTCCTATCATTGTTAGGAAGTGGCTCAGTAAACACATTGCTGCAGCAATGAAGAATTGTTGGAGGCATTGTTTTCTGTGCAGTCCGTGTTGAATGAAAGGAAGTAGGTGAGCAGATCTTACCAGAATTTATCATTTATGCAGCAAATATTTTGTTATGAAATCAAGTTTTGAATGATTAAACCCCAATGTGATGGTATTCCATCTTGTTGGAATATGACGCATGGACTCACTTGGCTTGTAGGACTACATATTGAGGTCGAAGCTGCTGGTCATGATATCTTCCACAAAGAAGAAAGGTCCAGTGACGTTTTCATTTGCTGTGGTACACCAGAAGGTTAAGCACAATAGACCATTGAAGGTCGCAGTGCTAGGGCCAGTTTTATGGCTCACCCCTCATATTCATACACCAGAACGTTTCTCTGACTCTTGCTCTTTCATGTTCCATACTGTAGTGATTTGAAGAACCCCACACATGACAGTTGTCTCTTCACACTCCTGCTAACATACGAGTATGTGTAAATTGTTGCTTCATTAGAGAAGATATGGTACATTATATAGTAATGGTTCTCATTCATATTCCTTGACATAAGCCAAGCCAAGTTCTTGACTGATGTGCTACACCATTTTTCTGTAAAGGTTCTAGCACACATTTGATTCTGTAGGCACAAAATCTGAAAAATGTATGCACTCTGCATGCCATGGACCAAGGGCTATTGAGCTCTCAACTCACTTCTTACACTGACTTTCATGGGTTCGTAAACGCCTACCTCATTGTTTCCACTTTACACAGTGACAATGGCAGTCCATTTTTTTTATTCTGCCAGTTGCTTTGATCTGTTCCACCCATATCAGAATGCTTTTAAAGGGGGAGGGATTTCTCCAAAACATTTTCTGAACATCTCTTGGACACCAGTAACTGATTTGTTTCTTCCATCCACCACAACACATATGCAAAATTGTATTGGTAATATACCATTCTCAGAGCAACTGCTGACTGGCCTTTGTAGTCATGCCATTGTTGCTTAGGTTCACACTTGGACACATCCATGTTCACCGAGTACAACCTGTAGCATAAACAAAATTTAGAAGTTTTTCACTCATGACAAAAAAGATGCTCTCATAGCTTCACTGACTTTAACAGTCACTCCTTTTTTAAATGTGGTCATTCTTCCTAAGATATTTTCTGTATATTTGACGTATTTAATTTCAGTATACTGGTAGAGCACTGTATTTTTAGAGTCCTGTGTGACCCTTTTTAGTTTGTAGATATATACCAACATTTCAGAGGGAATTGCTGCTTCCATCTTCAGGGTATAAGATGGAGATAACAGGTTCCTCTGAAACATTGGTACCTGTCTGCCAAATTACATAGGATCGCATCCCAGAAGACTACTCTTGAAAGCAATCTTAATTTACTACAGTGTATATGAAGTCAGTGTTGAGTCTTTAAATGCTATGGAAATAGATTGTTGATTCATGTTATTATTAATTCTTGTTTTCTTTCATTCCGTTTAAGCAGATGCTCAAATTGATGACAGAATCCCAGATGTTTCTGGTTGGAGTGTTGAACAGGTATCAAAATACCTGGAAGAACAAGGCTACCCAGTACAAGCAGCCGTATTTAGAGACCATGTAAGTACAGAAATTGTTCAGTTTCTTGAGGTGTAGGGAAAGTAACTTATTGAAGCTCAGCAGAAGTTGAAATAAAATTTTAAATGAATGTGTATCAGGATTTATTCAATTTCGTTGTTTGTTTTATATCACAATTTTGAAAGAGTAAATTGTTGATATTTAATTTAAAAATGTAATAACAACAAATTTGGTGGTATGCAGTAGCATAGATGTGTGAGGCACTATGCTACAAACCACAAGGTCATGGGTTCAATTCCTGTTGAGGTCATGGGATTTTTTTTAATTGACCTCATCTTAATAGACTTGAAAGGATTCTGACGATGGTGTATGCTGTACAGAACTATGAGGCTTATTTTGGACTTTATCCATCGTCTGGTATATATAAGACAAAAAACCACAATGTTTTGGAGACTGGATCTGTCTCCATCCTCAGGTGGATGGGGCAGGATAGTCCTACTCAGTTGGGCCCCTTAGAAAGAGCTAGTCTCAATCACTGGACACAGATCCAGTCTCCGAAACGTTGTGGTATTTTGTCTTATATATACCAGACGATGGATAAAGTCCAAAATAGGCCTTATAGTTCTGTACTGACCTAATCCTTCCAGCCACACTGTGGCCCTAGGGTCGGGTGAGCTTCTTGACAGAAATGAGTACCAGGAATCTTCCTGGGGGTAAAGGGTGGCTGGCAGGTAAGGCTGACAACCCCAGCGCTATCTGTGAGAATTTAAGCTGTGCTTGTGTGCATGTGCGGGTGTACTGTCTAATAACATGAACTAAATAGAAATTGTATCGTAGGATATTGATGGACCCTCACTACTTCTTATGAAAAGAAGTGATGTATTAATTGGATTGCATTTGAAGTTGGGCCCAGCACTGAAAATATATGGTCAAGTGAAGAAACTGCAGATTCGGCAGAGTGATCCTGCATTACTCTGGCCATGAAGAAGGTTAACATCATTCTTGCAGGAATAATTGTGTATTTATTTACTCCTCCACATTGCAGCATTGACATTTCTTTTGATGTGTCAAAGACAGTTTATTAAACCTCTGTATAAATGTGCAATATTGTTGAATGACCGATTGAATTACAGGGGCTATAGTGTTGTATTCTTCTGTAACAGATGACAAAGAATTCATGACTTATACACAATTTGAGAGTTTTGCATGTCAGTTATGCAGGAAGTTGCGGTTGAAATAATTACAAGAAAATGCTGAATAGGTACAAGTATGTACAGTAAAATCTGCTTAAGCAGATTCCATGTTCATTGAAACAGGAAAATTGTATATTTATTCAGAGATATTGTCACCAACAATGTGATGCCATGTGGTCTGATAGAAGTTATCAATCTTTTTGGAGGATATATTGCGTCCATCTTGAGGACATTAGTTTCCTTGCAAATGGCAGCAGCCTGTTACTCCATAACATTGCTAAACTTCTACCAAAATGCATGACATTATATCTCAGGGGACAAGTAATCTTCATAGTCATTTGTATGAGAACCTCAAATATCATGTATTTATTCATTTTACTATGAAAGAAGATCATAGATTTAACATTGAATTTTCCAGTATTTGGTAGTATATGTATTTTTTAGTACTGAAGTAATGGAGCTTGAAATGTATTTACACCAGTTGTACAAAATTATATTTTTATCTTGTAATTTTTTATCACAATTATATGTATTAAAATTAAACTTCTTAATCACACTTCATAACATACTAATTACATTACTTACTTGGAATATTCTTGGGGGTAAAGGGCGGCCACCGCGTAAGGCTGACAACCTTATTGCCATCTATGAGCCGATTGTCTAGAAAATGTGGGGACCTCAACATCTCACAACCCTATCGGTCTCCACGGCCTGTTACAGGGATAGCTTTACTTTACTTTTTTACTTAATGTTTTATATGGAATTGCTGTGTAGTGGGTATAATTACATTGTTTGTTTTTCTGATTTGTTTTTCTACAGTTGACTTACCTGTCTAGTTACTGTATTTTCTTTACATTCAGCATTTACTGTTGCATATGGCACAGTACTGAGACTGACCCAGGCCATACCACAGCTCAGAGAGTTGGTTACTGGTTCTAGATCATGTCATGTGGAATTTGTGGTGGACAAAGTGACATTGGGACAGGGTTTCTCAGAATACTTTGGTTTCTCAGTCAGGTCTCATTTCACCACCTGCTCCACATTGATTAACCATGCTTTCATCGACATAAAATTCGGCCTGTTACAGGGATATCTTTACCTTTTCCTTTTAAGAGACTGAATTGACTCTTTTATGAGTATAGCCATAGTTTGTAAAAGAAAAAGTGTTATCATTGAACTGGAATATATTGTAAAAATTGATTACTTGTGCATGATGGTTGTTTTTCAGGAAATTTACGTGATTATTATTGAATAAAATTTTCTGTTTTGTAAAGTATACTTTACTTCTCATCCTGCTCTATGTGTAAAAAGTATAATAATTGATTTTATTGTTATGTATTTAAATTTTGTATAGATGACGTGGTCTGACAGTAAAGTTCATGAACTCATTGCGCTAAAAGTGCTACAGAACCTATTGCTGAATATCACTGTGGTCACCTTTAAAGTACTCCCCTTGGGATGCCAGTGCCTAGTCTACCCTCCAAAACAATTTTGAAACTGGTTTTGTGGAATGGCCTTCAGAGGTGCTGTCATATTATGCCTGATGTCACCAGTGTCATCAAAGTGCCATCCTTTCAATAATTTCTTTATCTTTTGGAACAGATAAAAGTCACTGGGGTCTATTTCAAGTTTTGACATTCTTGTGACAGCACACCAAAACACACTCAGACAATAATAGATGCTACTCAGAAAGAGACTGCCATACATCAACAACAACATCTGTAAAATGCTGATACACCAATGTCATCAAACCTTACTGAGGTTTCTTTGCACTGCTGCCATGGCAAGTACACGGCAAGTTCGCGAACTTTATTGTCAGACTTCATATATGTAACAATCAGAAACTGTGTTGATTGGATGCATATCTGTGATCAGTTTAACTCAAAATTGTTACTTTGCAAAAGGCTGAGCTGATGAGTCAAATACAGCATAGTTCATCCAGCAATTGCAGCATTTTATTTGAGCAGTTGTTTAACCAGTCACCAGTCATATATGCCTTCTGGCCTGATAATAAGTTGGCAGTTTATTTCCATGAATTATTGCATGCTTGTTCTTGTGACCAGTCAGCTGTGAGCATTCTTTGCGTTTCTGTCCAGCCATGGTGAGATAATACAGTACTGAACAATGCATGTTTCCTGTTAAGAAGTCTCTGATAAATATGTTCATAAATTGTTAGTACTGTAGTGTCTCAGATCACTTTTGCCAAGAAAACACCCCTAAGTGCAATAATTAATATTCTTATTCCCTCCCTGTATGTGCTTTTTTCCTTTTGTGCCCCCCCCCCCCAACATCTTCAGAAGAATTATTTGAAAGCCAAGTCCCATCCCAGAAGGATTCAAAATGTTTATTATACTGCTTAATGTTCTCTGCGTGTTACAGGGTACTGATGGTCATTGCTGTAATATTGAAAGTGCGTTGTTGTATGTTGTTATGAGATAGTTGTATGCAATTCACATCATAACTTGTGAATGGGGTTATTCTTGATAATAGTTATCTGCTCTCTGGTTTTGCAAGTCCTTATTGCATTAGATTTAAAAATACCTAAACTGCTATGCACCCCCTCCTATATCCATGACTGATATGTGTTACATTCTTCTTTTAATAAAATATGCAGATTTCTGTAGGATGATTGCTTGCACTGTTTCCAGCTGATGTGAACAACACTTAAATTGGACTTAACCTATGTGGAAGTGAATGGAATGAGCAAGAATGCTGATAGATAACAGGTTATGGAGGAGGGGAAGGGGACTAAGTGCATTTTTACTTCTGAGAGTTTAACTTTGGTGATAACATAGATACCACATAGAAAAACACAGAAACTTTGACACTAGTAAGGAGGTTGTTCTAGAAGTAAACATGAAGAAAACTAAGTATATGTTGCTGTCTTGTCCCCAGTGTGCAGCACAAAATCATGACCTGAAAATAGGTAAAAGATGTTTTGAAAATGTGGCACAATTCAGATATTTGGGAATGACAATAGCAAATCAGAACTTGTTTCAAGAGGAAATTAAGATGAGATTAAATTCAGGTACTGCTTGCTACCATTCAGTCAGGAACCTTTTGTCTTGTCTGCTATCTAAAAACATAAAAATTAGAATATAGAAAACTAATTTTGCCTGTGGTTCTGTATGGTTGCTAAAGTAGGCCTCTGACATTAATGGAGGAACAAAGACTGAGAGTGTTCAACAACAGGGTGCTGAGGAGAATATTGGGTCAAGGAGAAATGAAGTGACAGGAGGTTGGAGAAAACTTCATAATGAGGAGCTTCATAACTTGTACTCCTTGCCAAACATAATTAGAATGATCAAGCCATGGAGGATGAAATGGGCAGAAGAGGAATGCATATAGGATATTGATGGGAAAGCCAGAAGGAAAGAGACCACTAAGAAGATCAAGACGTAGGTTGGTGGACAATCTTAAAATGGTTCTTAGAGAATAGGATGGGGTGGTATGGACTGGATCAATCTGGCTCGGGATAGGGACAAGTGGAAGGCTCTTGTGAACATGGTAATGAACCTTTGGGTTTCATAAAATTCTGGGAAGTTCTTGAGTAGCTGCACATTGGTGGCTTCTTACGAAGGGCTCATCTCCATGAAGTTAGATCATGAAAACTACACCAGAAACCATGATGGTACAGTGGTGTTAAATATTATGATCATGAAAGGGGGAAGTATAAAGAACAATAGAATAGTTTCTGATGGCGTAACATTCATACTGTCACAAAAAATTTGGAGGATGGGGACATTATAACCATATTTGCCACAGAAAGAGAAGTTAACAAGAAAAAAGAAAGGTTCCCATTTTCATGTGATGGAAATTGCTGCCCCACTTTGCCTACCGTTTGAGGCAGTTCTTTTAGATGGTTCAAATTTGCTACATAGCCGTAAGTTCTTATATGCCCTTTTATGGTTTTCCAGCCCGTGGATACAGTTTAAACACTGCATAGCGACTGCTGAGCTCTTTTCCATTGTCAGAATTGTATACATATTGCCAGGCAGCCGAAGATATTTTGTCATGTTTCTGATGAAGGAGAAAGTATTTAAGTGAGGATTTTTTACTGTCTTACACAACGATTAGTAGCTGTTCAGGAAAGCTACCCCATTTGACCCCATGCAAAACCGCCCCTACCTCAGGTCGTCTAGACCAGCTATCCTGCTTAGACGAATATTGGTAACCAGGGATTACTGCGGTAATGGTCACGGCTGGTTGCATTTGCAGCAACATGCACTGGAGAAGAAAGTAATTGCACCCACAATGCTATGGGGCTGAAACATGGACACTTAGGGCAGTAGATCAGAAACATCTGGAAAGTTTAGAAATGTGGTGTTGGAGAAGGATGGAGAAGATCAGTTGGACCGATTATGTGAGAAATGAAGAAGTGTTAATTAGAGTCAGTGAGCAGAGGAATATCCTACACGAAGTAAGAAAACGGAAGGCTAATTGGATTGGTCATGTTTTACACAGAAACTGCCTTCTAAAAGAAGTTATTGAAGGAAAGATAGAGGGGCGGATAGAAGTGACAAGAAGACGAAGAAGACGTAAGGAGATGCTGGATGACCTTGGGGACGGAAGAGGATACTGTCATTTGAAGGAGAAAGCTCTAGATCGCATTAAGTGGAGGAATTGTTTTGGAAGAGACTGTGGACCTGTTGTCTGACAGATTACTGATGATGATGATGATGATGATGGTCTGGCGACCGTGTACAGTCTCGTCACCGCTTTTCTGAGCTCACTAGCTACCAGCAGACGCCGCTGCACTTCTGCCCCCATGTCCCATCACTAGTGTCTGAACTGTTTGAATGGTCTGGATGGCTGCTCTATGATGTTGAAAAGGTAAGCGTGGATGTTTGCTAGGGCTTCAGTTTTTTGGAAGCCGATGCTACGTTTAGAGCATTTGGAGTGTTTGATTACGGTTGGCCGTTGGTTTTCTGCCCTAGTGTCTCTGCTCTGTAAGGGCGATGTAGCAGACGGTTTGACATTTACTTTGCTAACACGTGCAGGAGATCTTGTAAACACCGAGTTTTCGTATAGTGGGGGGGGGGGGTTACTTTCATACTGTTATATTCGGTTTAGTGATAAAGCTCCAGTTTGTGCTCTCCTGCGTTGACATTATAGATGGTGACTACTTGTTCATGGAAGAAATTATCAGTAAATTATGCACGTTCTTTATCTCAATTGAATTAGGTAATAATTAATCCAGTTTGATGTTATATGATAAATACGTATATGGCAGAGTGTATCTTAGAATGACATAAGATAAGGCCCCCCCAAATAATAATGATTTATTTACCTAAAGGATTTAAAAATATCGGACGATCCATGAATATACGGGATGGTGCATTCACTTACAAGTCGAACGTGGCCAGTAGTAATGACTTTGAAGCAGGACAAACTGTATGTCAAATTCATGTTGTTGTATCTCATACAAATTGAAAACAAAGTTATATCTCTGCCGCGCCATAGCTCA